AGTTGTAGTGTGAAGTCGTTATGCCTACTGTCACAGAGGAGAGGGAGTTTCTGGGTCCTGTCCTGATTGACGCGCCAAAACAACAACAGGGCATTATGGGATTTGTAGTATTAGCGGTGAATGCACTGTACAGTATAATACCGGGGGCAGCTCTAGTAGTCATTTGGGATTGTCTCGCGGGCCAAATATAATTACAAAGCAGGCCAAATTTGGCCCGCGGGCCAGAGTTTGACACCCCTGCTTTAAAACATCTCAGCAACTTTTTCACTAAATATAAAATACAGAAAACATCCCCTTGTTTTTTGATATTGTTTCATGTGTTTAAGTTATTACATCTTCTTTGCAATTTACAAAAAGCTTTCCAGCTCCAGCTTCATTATATCCTGTATATGATAAAAAGGAGTCTCTCAAAGAATTAAATTATTATCTCATTGTAATTACACTGTGCATTTTTTTTTGTAGATTAAATTCTCTTTTCATATCGACTCACCTGCCCGTAAACCACACTGTGGATGAAAGAGAAAGATATTGTCAGAGATTGAAGCTCACCTCAAAGAGAAATGTAATCTAACAAAGATGGAGGACAAAAAAAAAAAATCAAAAGACAAGATCAAAGTGATTTTTTTTTTTTTTTAACATCGAACTTTTAAAAGTGATGGTTTTTGTGATTCGTTTTATAGTTCAGGATATTTTGCCAAGTGGCCTGTTTTGTGTAGGCTGAATATTTTATCTTTTTTTTTTTCTTTGTGACATTGCATAAAGTGTCCTGATGGTTTTTATTATAATTGGAACAGGCAGTTTCATTTCAGCCTTGCAGGGGGTGAACTCATCCAATTTCTCTCAAGAAAATCACCTGGTAATACATAATGTGACAGCGCTGTTTCGGAGCATTCTCAAAGTCATTAAATTTATATTTTCCCGCATGCACGGAATATTTAGCTATGAATAAATAGCCCGACGTGAACATGCATATTGTTTACTGCGCAGTCAAATAATGTCACACCTTCAGAACGTATTTCCAGATTGAGAGGCTTCATGCTGACAGATTTAATTACCTTCAATTCAGCTCGACTGTTATTGAAAGGGATGACTAAAAGCATTTGATACATGACACGGGTTGTGTTTTGATGTTTGTGTGCGCAGGTGTGTTTTCTCCTGTATATCCCTGCATATGGCTGTGAGTGAAAGTGTGGTTATCGGTGCACTCGTGTGTTGGTTCACGTGCTCATCTAAGAGCATGTGTGCGCTCTCCTGGAAAAAAAAAAAAAGTGAGTAAATGAAGCCAGTTTTTAATGCCTGGAGCATGTTGATTCTCTCCACTCTGAATGAGTGGGTCTGTCCCTAATTGAGCCTCCATGAAAAACCTCGCCTCGGTGTGCGTGGTGATGCTCGTGGGCATCAGCCTGCACCATGACCCAGTGACTTAAGTATAATCTTGTGACTTTGAACCTCTTTCAAACTTTTATCACTGCCGGTGTAAACCTATATATAGGGTTGTTATTTGCCTTAAAGGAAGACATTTTGCATGCATACGCTAGACCTTTATCTCTTTTGTCTGTAGTGAGATAAAAAGGTTGTGTGACACTTTTATCACACGGTACATCTATTTTTACTTTAGTTCCTTTGTCATAGAAAAAAAAAAAAAAGCCTACAAAGCTGGTTGAAAATCGAGCCTGATATATTGGCATGGCTGATGTTATCAGCTACTTTTAGCTTGCAGCAGATCTCTTTATTTTTTACAGGGGCAATGCACATTACTCAGTAGCACCATAAATGTGTGAGTTTAGACTGTCTAAGTTTCATCTGTACTTTGTTGGTCAGATTAGACAAACATGGAAAGACAAACATAAACGAGCAAATCATTATTAGCATGAATGACACGCAACCAAAAAAGCTCTCAGTCTGAGCCAAAAAAAACCCAAAAAACATATTGCACTTGAATTTGGAGACGATCACCGGTTCGTGACCCGGTTAGGACACCTGGGATCTTCCTGCTTGGAGTCTCCATGTTCTCCCCGTGCAGTGTGGGTTCTCTCCGGGTTCTCCCACAGTCCAGAAACATGTTGAGGTTAATTGGTGATTCTAAATCGTCCGTAGGTGTGAATGTGAGTGTGCTTGGTTGTCTGTCTCTAAGTGTAGCCCTGTGATAGACTGGTGACCTGTCCAGGTGAACCTGCCTTCACCCTGAGTCAGCTGGGATAGACTCCAGCCCCCCATGGCCCTAGTGAGGATTTAGCGGTGTATAGATGATGGATGGACTTACATTTGGCTTCCACTACTATTGAAGTTGTCTCCTTGTGCAGTGATTCACAGCTCCCAGCGCTCCTGCAGCTCTTCCAGTGCTCCCTGGAAGTCCTGTTGTGTAAACATGCCAGCACCGATTCCAAACGGAGCTGAATCTTGTCAAATCAGTGATCCCTCGACTTGAATATCATTTTGGGACTGAGAAAGAAGTCACAGGGAGCCAAATCAAGCAAGTAGGACAGGCAGAGAGTGATGATTGTGCACGATGCCGTGACACACCACAAACAGTACAGACATGTGTTGATCATCTGCAAATGTCAGCTGATGAGTTGTGACGACAGCCGAGGTACTATGTTGAATATTGTTTCGAAAAATATGTTTTGGAGATTTCAGTTGTATAAACATTCTCATCAGCAGATGAAGCTGCTTAGTTGTTGAATTAGATGTTTATATGAACATTCCTCTGATCCCTTTAAGAACCTCCTGTCTGTATGTTATTGTCAATACATTGTTTTCCAATCAGTTTTTTTTTCTTCCAAATTTTAGCTAGTTATGAATAGAGTACATGTTTGTCAAAATTCTTTAACAGCTAAGTTGGTACTATATCGGCCTGTAGTTTTAAAACGATTTTGTAAAACTTTTCTAAGATGTTTCCTTCTAAGAACTATTTAAATTGATTTTAGTTGGAACACTACAATATTTCCAATTAATTGCAAGCATCATTTGTGAAGTCTTTTCATTGATGCTCAGCAGGTCAGATGACCATCGCAAGTGTGGAATTCATTGTCAACTAACCATACGTATTATTATACAGAAAAGAAGATCTACAGAAACCAATGAACATCTACCTCAAGTTAAAGGAACTTTGCTTTTAAGAACAGTTACCAAGGAAACTTACATATTTTTTTGAATTAAAACTCAATATTATCTTTGTCAAAAATGTTGAAAACATGTCGATTAACGTGTCGTCCTTGGAGTTTGTTGGCATGAAATGTTCATTATCGACGCAGCTCGAGTGTAAAACAAAACATCCTGGTAACAGCTGAGCTGCTCTCTGTCACGCTTGTTAAAGGAAGTGAATGAAACGTCCACGCAGCGTGCCATTTGTCATCATCACGTCTGTTAAGCATGCATCCGCCATCTAGTGAAGCTAGCCGAGGGGACACTGCTTTAGCTAATGGCTGTGAACCGGACGGTTCCAGTTGGCTTTGTCCATCTCACTCCTTCATCATCTTCATGCTTCTCATTTGTTTGCTGAATTCGGCAGTTAAGTGGCTCCTGTCGTGTCAGGCAGCAGCTCCATGCTTGAGGGGAAGTTTCAAAGGAGAGCATTTTCCATCTCCTCGGCACGGAGCGAACGGCATTGGTTGGGAGTCAATTCCAGCAAGGCCGAAGTCATTTATAAAAGCATTAGCAGCACTATCTGAAGTGAGGCGTGCTGTAGATTGTAACATATGACCAGCTATCTTTCTCAATGAGTCTTTTATGATTTACTGTATGTGACAGAACTGTTGATGTGGGCGCTCGTGTTCACCGCACACATACAAAATCTCGATTTTCAACTTTGTCAGAAAAATAAAGGACGTGCTCTGTTGGGTACAAAAGATCTTGAAAAGCGAGGAGTGAGAAATCTGCAGAGTGTGAGCAGGAAATCCGAGACATTGAGTATGCATTAATTTAAAAAAAAAAAAAGAAAAAACATTTTATTTTCCCTGAATGAGACAACCTTAAAAGGATGCACGGTTCACACACACACACTGGGAGTCTCTCTGTTTCTCATTTATGTGCAAATACACTGATGTTTCAACACTTTCAGCCGTAAGAAAAAAAATAAAAAGCCGAGCCAGTTAGGTGCGATAAGAAGACTTCCATCTGGCTCTCACAAAAGGCGCCAGCTGAGAGCAATAGCCTGCCTCACCAACATGAGATGCATTGTTGTGATAAAAGGTTCTCGAATACAGACTACACGGGCTCATCCTTCTTAACCGCCCATACGTAGACATGAACATGCAGAAGGCGAGGGATTGTTCTTGAAATTGCCGCGGAGCGCATTAGATCGCAACCAGCTGTGTCTACACTTGATAAAAAAAACATCTTCCGCAGGTCGAGTAAAACGTTCAGATCGTTGAAAGGAAACTGGATGAATTCAAACATCCACTTTAGAATTAGACCTCAGCCGACATGTGACAGGCCGGTGGAAGCGTTCGCATCAGCTCCTCTTCCCGCGCCGCTTTTATTTCAGCGCGTCCCTATTCTCACGTCCCCACTCAACGGAGAAGGGGATTACAGCAACATCACTCAAACCATGTCTCTGCTGAAATCCATCTATCAACCGTCTCCCTGAGCAATATTTCTGTATTGCACCCAAGTGGGAAGATCAAATATTTCGTATTGCACAGTGAAATCCATTCAAAGGTTCTTAGCCGACTCCGTAATCCCTGGAAGAGTTTCTTTTCCTTCTAAAGCCAATTATTTTACATCAGATCAAAGGCGTTTATTTATCATTTACAGAGGATAAGCTGAATGTAGTGGGACTCAGTCGACACACTGGCATGTATATACAATACATCCAGCGCTGGCCCAGGAACAAGCGCTCTAAATCATATTTATGCACAGACACCATTGTGCCAACTGTTTTTTTTTCTCCTGAAGCTTAATTTATGCTAACTCCCTCCTTCACTTTTCTCCCCCCCCTCTCTCTTGTACGACTCCTCCGCAGGTGCGAGTGGACAGGAGTGGCGAGGTTTGTTCCCAGCATGCAATTGGCACAGCAGCTCCAGCGGGCCGCCGCGCCCACAGCAAGCTGCATCCTGGCTTTGGCTCTGTTTCTTGCTCTACAGGTAAAATTGTTCAGACAAAATAGCTCTGTCTGGAGCACCTTTTTTTTTCTCCTCCTTCCATATTCAATATTTATTTATTTCTGGCAGCCCCGTTAATCACTTGACTCTGGGCACAAATTCCCCGAAATTCTATCCCGGCCAGTTTGCAGTAATAATTCAGATTGCCCGCATGTGTTCTCTGTGTTTTTAATACTTCTTCTAGAAAGCTGGAGTTTGAGTATCGCAGTCAGCCACCTTAGTTATTGCCGCTGCATTTGTCAAGCGAAATGACTTTTATTGGCAATAACAACTGGCACAATTGCAGCTCGAAATTCTCAGAAAACTGTAAAGTTCTCAATGACATATGAAAAAAAAGGTTTTTCATTTCTTTTTCTTTTTTTGGTCCCGGGTAGATTTGATCAACTCGAGCTAATTATGCAAATGTTCTCTCCACAAGTTGGTGGTGCGTCTGGGTGACTCATTTTTAACATGTGCACCTGTTTTAAAAGAAGACTCTTGTTTGGGTTTAAATATGCACTTGATTGTCACAAACACAAGGACCTCGGCCTGAGCGGCACGATTGACCAGCTGATGATGAATATAAGACATAACAGTAAGGAAACAGCAACACCAGACTGCTGTTATTACATCTCGGCTTGTAAAACAATGCTACAGAAGATGCAGCTTTTATGAGGACGACTGATGTTTTTGGCAAATCTACTGCTATGGAGTTGCCGGTTTAAGTAAGCTGAGAACACAAACTAATTAGTCAAAGATGTGCTCTTTGGTGTGGAAGTAATGTTCAGCTTCAAAGGCACTAAAAGTATTTATATCGTATGTAGGGTAAAGCAGATGAGCCCGTTGCTTAGGAAATTAACTTGTTTGCTTTTGTGCCGTTGGTTTCAGAAAGACAAAAAAAAAGAGAAGAAATGAAGAGTTCATTTGCAAAAACAGATAACTCCGTCTTCACAAACCTTCGGAAAACCCACTTTTCCTTCGTCTACCTGAGACAACATCAATCAAACTTAAGTTATCTGTATTTTTGTCAAATCCACTCAACTTCAGTTTGATTGTTTTTATCTCACAGACGAAACACAAAAAATAAGTTCTCTGAAAATCTACAAAAATGCAGTTTTTGCAAGTGAACTCTTCAAATGCAGCATCCAAAGTCTTCAAAGTATTGCTTACGTGCAGAAATCTAACTCTTGATAGATCTACAACATTGCACTATTTCTATTTCTATACTCCCACTGCACAGAGTTAGCGCTACAAATCTATGCTAACAACTTTTGTGATCTTAAATCAAACATTTTTAACAGATTACTCGGTTTACGTAGAACAAAATGCTGTGAAGTAGCCGCTCACCTGATCCAGTGGAGTTTAGACTTGTCCCCCTGTGGCTTTATTTTCATCCAATCACTCCTTTCCCCCATGAAGTAATATTTGCCTGTTTAATGGTATTTTATATCCAAATTCACTGGCAGACAAAAAAAAAAAAAGAACAACCTGAAAATATTGAACTGTCACCACAGTCTTTTGGACGTGGCCCAAAGTTTTAATGTGAAAACTGTTTTGGCAAGTGTTGCAGCCTGTGAGAAAATCCCTGTTTTGTGTCCCCTTGGATTCTTTTCTTCGTCTTCACTCCGTCATTTTGTAAATACAAGATATAAAGGATAAAAAAAAAACAACTGGAAATCCCTGAGTCCAAGCCACACACAGTGTTTTTTATTTTGTTTCGTATTATCTCTCGCTCCAGGGTGCCGCTCACGCTGCTCCATCAGGAGACAACAAGCTGGTTCGTACCACCAGAGTGAGGAGGCAGGCCCCGGGGGAGGATCAGCCCCCCTCTGCTTCCTCGGTGAACCAGACCCTGCGGGAGCAACCTGTGGTCTTTAACCACGTCTACAACATCAATGTGCCCTTGGAGTCTTTGTGCTCTGTCGACCTGGACGCCTCTGCACCACCTGCCCCAGGTGATGGTAAGGTCTTCTGATCGATCGAGTGTTTTTTGGTTAGAACTCACTGCAGCCATCTTATCTTCCGTCCTGGAGGCACCTTTCTTTCACTTAGACGCACAAACGTAGTCTATTTAGAAGTTTCTAAGACCTGTTCTTTTCACTTTCTAGGCTCTCGTGCCGAGTTGGGATCCAGACCTTCTGTGGAGGGACCGATGGATCCGACCGGACCAACAGAATACACTGAACAGACGCTGGATGCTGACAGCCAGGTGGGCGTTTTAGCAACATCATATTTGCAGCAGGAAAGCTTGAAGTGAGGCGCAGTGTTCAGGATGACACAACTCAGAGTGAGATGTGAAGAGACTTCTTTTAGAGTGAGTCACGGATGTGGATACGGGCCCACGGGACAAAGAGCTGATTCTTAAAAACAACAGCTGTTTCGGCGTCATATTTACATGTTTACGGTGATATATTCTCTTATGCGGAAATAGTAGGAAATGACTGATACCCCAGGCTTTGAAACATGAAATCTATACACTGAAAAAGTGGTTCTGCTGAATCATCCTTAATACAGAATGAAAGTTCAAAGTGGCTTCAGTGAAAATGTGACGAGTAAAAAGCAAAGTGCTCACGTTAAAAAGGCTGCTCATCGTGACGAGCCTGCAGAGAATTAACACCCTAATCTGCAGCATTCCTCGGGTTCACGGAGCTCAAGGCTATAGTTTCGTTTCAGCTGTCCAGCCCGCAGCTTCACCGCTTTGTTCAACTCTCGCTTCTCTCATAGCATTGATTTGAGCTACAGAAGCCAGCAACTGTTTTGAGAGAAAACACTCGTAAAGCCCACTCTATCTGCTCAGCATCAAACAGCAGACACACAAAGTTAGCAACTAGCAGGTGAACACACTGGAGCGTTTAGCGGCAAAAGAGACAGATATTCCCTCGGGAGATGGCAGAGAGCAAAAACACAGCTAAAAGAGAGTGAATCATGGACTTATCTTTACACAGGTGCCTGTGAGCTCGACTCCAAATGTATGATAATGTTGCTCCGTGCATGGTGGATATGTAAATAAGCACCTTTAGAGGTGATGTCTGACTAACCGTATGCTCAGGATGTTGGAGACAGTCACATTTTTCCAGTGAAATGTGACCAAATATGCCACGTTCTGCTCAATCTTTACATGTTTATAGGAACCTAACATATGTTTTGCTTTATTTAACCTTGAAAACTGACCAAAAAGATAGATTTTGGTGTCAAACATGCACAATAACTCGTAGTTGCCAGCCCACTGCAGGAATTATAAGTATGACTGCTGCACAAAATGCACTTCTTAACCAAACTGCTCTCCTCTTTCAGGTGACATTTACCCACCGCATCAACATCCCAAAAGCGGCGTGCGGCTGTCCTGCAACGATCACAATCCAGCAACTGGCCACCAGGGTGGAGATGCTGGAGAGAGAGGTTTCCCTGCTCAGAGCTCAGTGTGGATCTGGATGCTGTGGAGACAGCTCAGCCATGGGTGAGTGCTGTTTAACGCTGACATGAAAACACACAGATGAAGTTGGAGGATGTGGTTTTTTTTTGTTTATATAATCCACTTTACCTGCAGTATTTGTCCAAGAAGAGTCTTGGTGTTGAGTGCACAACAACAAGTTTTTGGAAGATGTAAAGAACCGCAAGAAAAACATTCAAAACAGGTTGCCTTATATGTGGCAAGAAGGGAAAAAAACAAGTGGTAATATAGGTAAACCAGGCAGAAAGAAAAGGAGACAGACAGCAGCAGAATATTGATGCTGGAGGGCAACTTGTTTTGGGTTTTTTTTTTCCTGCTGCAGTGTCTCGCAGTCTGAAAAGTGTGGAGAAACCTTTGTTACTGGCAAAAATTTTTTGTTCACTATTCAGGAGATGCTGCCATTATACTATGAGGGGACTAGAATGGATAGAGTTACAGAATATATTATGGCTAAAGGATCTGCTCCATTGACACCGCCACCCCATTCAAATATTTTCTGAAAACGCTCCGTCTCTTACTGTAAGAATGTGATTATCTCCAGCAGTCATGATCAGAATCAGAAAGAGGATGAAATGCTCTGCTGAGGAAGGCCAGTGAAAGGACTGGAAATGCATCGCTTTTCATAGATGTTTTGACTACAGTTTCTACCATCAAGGCTGCTGAGCCACGTAGACATGAATAAATGAACCGTGATTGGATGTTTTACCATAATTTAAAGTCTGATTTCTTTTGATATTGAAATGATCAGTTTCTTAAAATGAACTATATGTATGTAATATTACTCAAAATATTAAATTCCTTCTGGATGGTTATGTGGGATGTCTCCTGCCTTCACCCTAAGTCAGCTGGGATAGGCTCCAGCCCCCTATGACCCTAGTGAGGATTGAGCAGTGTATAGATGACGGATGGTGTAGCGCAGTTGGTTAGCACTGTTGCCTCGCAGCAAGAAGGTTGCCGGTTTGCGTCCCGGTGGGGCACCATGCAGTGTGGATTCTCTCTGGGTTCTCGGGCTTCCTCCCACACAGTCCAAAAACATCCATCCATCCATCATCTATACACTGCTTAATCCTCACGAGGGTCGCGGGGGGGCTGGAGTCTATCCCAGCCGACTTAGGGTGAAGGCAGGGGACACCCTGGACAGGTCGCCAGTCCATCGCAGGGCCACACTTAGAGACAGACAACCAAGCACACTCACATTCACACCTACGGACAATTTAGAATCACCAATTAACCTCAACATGTTTTTGGACTGTGTGGGAGGAAGCCGGAGAACCCAGACAGAACCCACGCTGCACGGGGAGAACATGCAAACTCCACGCAGAAAGATTCCGGTGCCCCCACCGGGACGCAAACCGGCAACCTTCTTGCTGCGAGGCAACAGTGCTACCAACTGCGCCACCTTGCAGCCCGTCCAAAAACATGTTGAGGTTAATTGGTGATTCTAAATTGTATAATTGTGTAATAGGTGGGATAGACTCCAGCCCCCCATGACCCTAGTGAGGATTAAGCGGTGTATAGATAAAGGATGGATGATTATTTGGGAGGATTTTCATCTTAAAATCAAGCATCATTTTAATCACGTACTAAACAGCGTACACACCTTTCCTTCCCCCTCAGGCCGTTTGGACTTCGTCCCGGGCTGCGGCGGCCACGGCAGCTTCAGCTTTGACCTGTGCGGCTGCATCTGCGAGGAAGGCTGGACCGGCAAAAACTGCTCCGAGCCTCGCTGCCCGAACGACTGCTCTGGCCAGGGCGTGTGCGTGGAAGGCGAGTGCGTGTGCGACCGCGACTTTGGAGGTGACAACTGCTCGGAGCCACGGTGCCCGTCAGACTGCTCGGGCCGCGGCCTGTGCATCGACGGGGAGTGCGTGTGCGAGGAGTCCTTCACCGGCGAAGACTGCATGGTCGGAAGGTGCCTCAACGACTGCTCGGACCAGGGCTTGTGCATCAACGGGACGTGCCACTGCCGGCCCGGGTACGTGGGAGAGGACTGCTCGCTGGTCTACTGCGCCAACAACTGCAGCAAGAAGGGAGTCTGCAAAGAGGGCTTCTGCGTGTGCCAGGACGGCTTTGCTGGAGACGACTGTAACTCTGGTGAGCTATTAATTTTTTTTCATTTATCAGTTTGATCCTCTGACTGCAAGTACAAAGAGTAGTTTATCTGTTTCAATTTCCCGAAGCAGAAATTCTTGGCAGGAGAGGTTGTCCTCCCTTAACACTTGCTGTCAGTGTGACCAGGATCAAGTAAGTCGAAAAGCAGAAATCCAGCCTAAACAGATTTCAGAATGACACTACGCGACCCTCACACAGTCGGGTCTGAATTATTGAAGAGAAGCAGGTCTCCTAAAAAATAATAGAGCAGCAACATTAGCTGCTGCGCCTCCAGCCTCAAGTCGATCTTCTTTCTAATGTAAACTGCAGTTGCTGTCACTGAGCTGGGCGCGAGATTCTGATTCATTCTCAGGATTACAGTTTAATGATTATCTTTAGAAATCATCTTGTTGGTGTTATTTATCCATTTTACCGCTAAGAGTATTAAAAGAGAAAAATACAATAAAAATAGAAATGATGCTGCTTGATAAAGAACACAAAACAAAAGTAAAGTATTTCCATTTAAGCTCCTCTTAAAATCTGCTTTTTGTTGCTCCTACAGTCAGAATATACTATCTGCCTGACATATACAGTTAAAGCTGCACCTTTGTTTAACAGTTATTTATTGATTAGTTCAATTATTTAATAATAAAAAACATTTCTTGGCCAAAAGGGACATTTTTAAACTACCTGACATCAAACCTACGTATATTAATTTCACAATCAAAACAGAGAAAAGCAGCAAATGTTTGGTCTTTTTCTAAAACAGTCATCATATTTCTCTTAACTCCCAATTGATTAACCCAGTGCTATGTGTTAATTACAGTATATGGCACAAACTGAAGCTACCCGGTACAATAGGTATTGGCAGCCATGTGCCTCACAGTGCCGAGAGTTTGCAGATAGATAAAGGCTACAGCGGGCGATATCATTCATCAGCAAGAATAAAGGAGGTAATTACTGCAACCCCCTAGTGTAGTTTTTGTATGGAAAGTAAATTTCACAAGTTTGAAAACACCCTAACAATTTTTTTTTGTGTGTGAATGTGCAGCGCTTTAAAAAAAAAAAAAGTCCCTCTGTGCTTCAAATGCAGGTGGCGGGGGGCATGACTTGCTGGACAGCAGACGGTTTAACAGCATTCATTTGTCAAAAGTCACATTCATCTGGGGAGAGAACTGTCACATTAGCTGCAGCTGAGACAGTTTCTGAGCCGTGCTTGCCTTTGTTCGGAGCCGGCTCTCTACGCCAAAATATCAGATCCTCCTCTGCCATTTGAGCTGCCTGTCAGCGAGATGACGGATGAGGACCGACAGAAGAGCGAGCGATAGAAAGACAGGGACGGAGAATTTTATTACTGAGGCCCATTCCTCTGTTCTGCCCTCCCCGTTTAATATCTCTACCCAGCGAGAGAGACCGAATTGCTTATTTCTCCGTAATTAGAGGCTAAAATAGCCAACGCTTGTAGGGGGATAGTTGGCTGAATACAAAACAAAGCAGTTCAATTACCAGAGACTTGTAGGGTTAAGTGTTTCAAGTTATCAATAGCCGAAGAAAGCAGCATGTAGCTTGGCTTCAATTATGGCAGCCTGTATTCTCCCACTATGAGAAATAATGGAGGCAGTCGAATTTAAATTGGATGTATCAGGCGTGCAGTAAGAAATAGTGTATCTTTACATAAGAAATATATCCACCCACAAAGCAGAGATCAGCCTGTGCTGAGGAGTGACATTCTGTCTTTGCAGCTGAGGTATGCTACAATCATTTCGATAAATCCCGATGCCACTGTGAGAAAGTGGCGCTGACATTCCTGCTTTGTTGACTTTGTCCTTTGAGTGCTGCGGTGGTGACAACTGACATTTACATTTCTCACCTAGTTGTGGTTACAGCTTTAAAGTTCTTGCGGCATACATCAAAGTGCGACGACGGTTCATATTGTTTCCATCTGAATGTTTATTTTATCGCCCCGTTGTGCAGCACAGCATCCGTCAAGTTCACGGCTTCATCAGTCAACGGCTTGTATCAGGTCGTCCTGTCGGATCATGGTTGCAGCCTGGAAGCCGACCGTTCAAGCCAGCTCACCTCATCGCGCAAACAAGAATTCATTTTGACAACAAACACAAACTCAAGCTGAGCGCCACGCACACAAAGAACACACGGTTTTCTCGACGCGCCATTCACGGACAGTCTGAGCAGCGTGAGAACATAATGTTATCAGGGTTTTGGCTGAAATTGTGTTGTAGCTTGTGACAAAAGTCTTTCAATATCCTGAACCATTTTCTGCACTGAAAAGAAATTGATTCTCTCTTTTTTTTTTTGTCCTGTGTGACAAAGTGTCTTTGAAAGTATATTTTGGAGGGCACTCTGCCATTCAGAAGTTTGGAGCTTCTTATTATATGATCACAACAAAATTATTAGTGGTTCAAGTTACAACGACATCTTTAACCTTCAAACTTCAAAAACTAATATGTCTTTCCAACAGCTAAAGAACAATTCTAAAACGTATAGACTTATTGTTGTATTCATTTATGATATTAATACCCTTTCTTCTTCATTATTTTTTACCATTTTAACGTGTCACCAGAGACGGCTGGTAGTCAGGTTTGTGATACCTGTGATCCAGGATGGTCGATGTTGGGCTTTGTGAATCCGGATAACAAAGTCTGACTAACTTGAACAAGACTTATGATTTAGGTCCCAAGGTGGTTCAACTTTCTTTGTTAACTCAGACTTTCTGCTTCAAACTCCGCGTTCGTTCACATTAAAAACGAGCGTCACATGACTCTTGTTCTGCTCAAAATGAAACGACAGCTGCTTCAGTCAACACGTTGTTTCATTGGAGAACAATGAGGAATCTAAAAATAATTATGATGGAAGAAAGCACCACAACTGCAAATGGTGCGAGGCAGGAATACTGGAAGAAAACTGTTAAACGTGTTAATATATAATATTTTACTGATGCAGCCGATTATTTCCAACTGACAGCTGCATGTTAAAGTTAAACTTTAAACTTAATATATTTAAGCATGTATTGAAGAGCATTTAGGTCTGACTCACTTTAATTTTTGGCCAAATCAAAGCGAAGTTAATGTTACTGATGGAATATTCTCTGTAATAAATACCAGCAGAATAATCCATATCCTGTGTTTGATCAGCTGCAGCACCAGCAGTGCAAACAGACTTGACCTTAAATCAGAGCCAAACATAAAAACATAAGTATGTGATTTCTGCATCACCAAGTAAATGCACATCTGGTTCCCATGGCAACGCGGTATTTACAGCGCGCGATACTGTAACTTCACGGCTTCATTCAGTTATATTAATAACGTATAACTCAGCAGTTTGCAGATAAACAGCTGAGAATCTGTATTGCTGAACATAACCTGAACCAGGTTAGCTCCACAGCATCAGTGACCATGGAGATCTAGCAGGTTTAAAGAGAACCGCCTTCGTGGTACCGAAAAGTCTGACTTTCGATAACCCACTAATCTGGCTTTGTAGCACAGCCCTCTGGTTCGCTCCACAGCATCAGTTACCATGGAGATCTAGTCAGATAAAAAGAGAGGCACCTTCACGACACTGAAAACTCTGACTTTAAGCTCAACATACCTCAACAACCCACTAATCCTTGTCGTACAGCCCTCTGGTTGCAACCCAAACAAAATTCAAAATACAACAGAGTAAAGCTCGGGGCGAGGAATAAAATCTCAGCATGTACTATGAATTTTACTTGAATATTACTGTAGTAGCAGCAGACTGATTTCAACCCTCATTTTAAGGGTGAAAACTGCATTACTCAGAGTTTTTTTTTTCATCACTCACAAACCCTAAAATATTGTGTTTCACGGCAGAAGTTTCATTTTAGCCAGTTTAGCAAATTAATAAGAAAAATTTCATTACACAGAGTAGCCTGAAGGTAAGTTAGTCCTCTGATGATGCACTGACCTCTTTTGTCCGCTGGAGTTTTACCGTCAAGGTCTTAGTTCAGGAGATGCTGCTCTGTCTGCCTATAATAGCATACTGATTAGACCTAATGAGACTTAAAGACTGGAGGCGAGATTCCTCAATAACCTTCAGCAAGTTGCACTTTTTGAAGCAAACCTTAGGAAACGCCTGACAAACTGGGTTTTTTTTTTGTCAATTTTTCAGAACTCAAGCAGACAAAAAGGAGTCGAGAGTTTGAATTAGCTCACAAGTTACATAAGCGGTGTTCTCATTTATGGAGATGATCATTTTAACCCAGGAGATGATTTTCTAGAGGCTCTATGTTCACGTTTGTGATTCTTTCTCTGCATTGTGCCTTGCTGTGAGCGCTTTAAACTGCTTGTCATCCTCGCCTGAGATGTGCTGCTGTTGAAAATGAGATGTCAGGATGCACCTCACCTATGCGACGCCTTTAATAGTCTATACAAGTATTCAAATCGTCTGCCAGGTGATGACCTTTTATATCGCAGCAATCAAGGGAAACACTCTTCTTCATCTTCGCTGTATCTACCAGCGATCCAGTGAGAAATTCCAAATTTAAGCTTCTGCAAACTTTGCAGAGCAACTCACGCTGCTCTTCACTTTCCGTTTGCTTTCAAGCGTCTCATCTATTAAGCCTCCTGCATGACCGCGTTCAGTCGCTCTTCTCCCCATCCCATGGATAATTGCCCCTTCTTTTGATTTGTTGTTTCCTTCCTGACAAAGCGGAGTTGAACCGATGGAATAAATTCTGGCTGCGAATGCCGCATTAGCCGTCCCTGCTGTTCTGAAATGAACAAGCCACTGTACAGCGTGTGGCCATCTGTCGAGCGTGCGAGCAAGTAGCTGAAACGGCCACTAAAGGGTCCAAAAGTTCCCGGAGGAAGGCTCGATGCTGTGCTGTCGTGTCCTGTATCACGGGGGCGAGAGCTTGTTTATCACACCATCACACCCCCCTTCACTCCTCGTGTTCCCTCTCTGTCTCTATCTCTTGTTTAATCGTCTTTCAGTGTTAATTATTTTTTCTCCTCGCCACGTCTTTTTCTTCTCCGCTGTCCGTCACTCCTCCAACTCAAACTGTTTGTACCTTCTGTCGTGTCTTCTCCTCCTTTGTGTCCTTCACTCGTCTCCCCTCCTCCCCTTTGTTGTTTTTGGCAGTGGGAGCTGTAAACACTCTTTGCTTATGCCTCCACATTTACATTCAGCGCCACCTCTCAGGTTTATGGCTCTCCACTTCAAGCCTCCTCTTGCCACAAGCGCTGGCTTCTTTCACTGGCTGGAATGCATATTCACAATGCAGACTTCTCCAGTATGAGATGTACTCAGCGAGCTGTCTGAAGTTTGTTGTTTTTTTTATGTATCACACCTGCCTACCTGACTACCGGCTGCCTCTGATCACACAAGTCAAGTTGACAGTATCTAAATGAACAGGGACAGGAGTTGGGGTTGGCTTCTGGCACGATTAAAATACTAAACATGTGAGTTGTAGCACTTATACGCTTGAAGGGTGACGCAAGATGTCTTATTTTTAAGTAAAATTATTGCTATGTGCTTCACGGATGAGGACGTTCATTAATTTTGAGTACTTGCAGATCTTTTTTTCCCCTTATTTAGTATATCCACTCAAACGGTATGTTGAGCAGCACACATCAGCCACCTGACAGGGTGATAAACGGTTGACCTGTGTGAAATGCGCCGGCGGTGGTACGACACATAGAAAAGCACAAAAGTAATTCAATGACCCATGCATGAAAGTTACTGCACTTGCCAGCTGATACATGTATATTAGTTAGTGATGCAGAAAAAAAGAATAAATCTATGTGCAATCTGTAAGTTTTACAAGCACTTTATCTTTACAATAGATAAAAAGTGGTGATTTTACCTCACGCATAGCAAAAAGCATTTGGTAAAAGCTAATTTAGCATATTTATTTTCCAAATCATAAACAAATATGAGGTTAAAAATTAGTTTCAGTCCACAATGCAGCTGACTGTATGCATGTAATGGAGCAGAAGTTCCTAAACTTGTCTGACAATACGCCGGTTTTTGAGATTTATTTCTTTTTAGTACGTTCAATCAGGATGAGGTAACAGCTAATTTGCTGTAGTTAATTTTCCCAAACTGAACAAATATAGGTTAAAAAATATTGATATTCAAGCTCTTATTTATTACATGTGCCCCTAAATGTATTCATAGCCTCAAAGTAAAGAAGAAAATTAAACAGCTGTCACTGAAATAAGTTGAAATTGACAAAAGTAATAATAAATTAAAAGTTTATGAAAATCATGACGTTGCTTTTGAGTTGTAGTTCAACAGAAAAGATTTTTAAAAACAAGCAAACGAGCATGATGGGATCTATAAACTAATATTTAGTTGAACAACTCTTTGAGCCAATCACTGCAATCATCAGGTGTTTTCTGTAACTCTCAGTCAGACTTCTGCACCTGTTGACAGGTGTTCTGATTTCACTGCTCATCAGCAACGTGCTGTAATTTGTTTGGGACAGTCTTGTTTGTTTGTTTGTTTGTTTTTAAAAATTATTCTTTTCAACCACAATTCAAAAGCAATGTCTTATTTCACTAAATTATAATTTAGCAAATTTTTATTTATTTATTTATTTTTCAGTTTCTAGTTATTTAAGTGACTGTTGTGAATTTTTCCTTTTCTTTAATGTAAGGGTGTGAATAAGTTTGAGGATGACTGTACATAGCGTACAGAGGACAATGCCCTTTCTTAAACAGCCTTGACTGGTAACCACATTAACATTTTCTATCCTTGTGGATTGACTGATGACCTGTCTGAGGATGGTGCGCCCTGAATTTACCCCAGTGTTCAGCTCTGCTGTTTAATGATCTACTGTCTTCAGTGTTGGATTGGTTGGCGCCAAAGATGTTCTGCATACGAGTAAATCTGACTGAACAGACTCGACACCAAATTATTACACATCACCTGTATGAAGGATGCACAGCTTTATTGACTGGGCTCTCTGTGAGATACTGAAATTATAAATTATGGATGTAAAAACTGTTCTGGTGCAAGTTAGAACAGAATTAGTCCATTTTCACTGAAGTAGTTTACATGTTTGACTTCTTATCACTCGTCGCAGAACAGATCGATTCTTTCATATGTGAGACGTCTGCAGTGTTTTTTTCTTCACATTTATTTTTTTCCTAATTAATTTTACAGACAACAGTTTTAATCGTCGCACTGTTTACATGCTGTCAGCTTATTAATGGTGTCTGTCATCGCTGATCAGGCTCCTGGTGTTACCGTGGGCTTTTTGAAATCAATGAATCCACACATTAAAGCATCGCTGATTCCTTTCGCCCAGCCAACATAAATCCTTTTTTTTGTTCCGTGTGCAGTCAGCCTGGTGAAGGCAGTTTGTCTGGCTCCTCATTTCAGCTCCTCCGGTGTTGCTGACAGGCACATGGTTTTAAGGATAGAGATGCTAAATGGAGGTCAAAGTCAGTGCGTATTGAATGGATAGAAAACTTCTGTAGTGCCTACAGTCATGTCTTGCTTTTAACACTGAATCCCAAAACCTGTAGTCTTGTCATATTTAGCACATCAGCAAGTTTCCACAGAGGTGACATTGTGGGTTTATGTTGTTATTTTCATTGTAAGACTGAAAAAATAATGATACAAAAGCCCAAAACCCCCAAAAGTGAATTAGGTTTTGGTAATATTTTTGTTTTTTTTGTATCAACAGTGGCCCCAGCGATGAATCTGAATGTGCGAGGGGTGACGGATCGCACTATTGACCTGGAGTGGGAAGGGTCAGTTGTGCTGACAGATTTCTTGGTGACCTACACACCAAGCAGCCCCGGAGGTATGCACAGATCCATGCCGGCCTTCAAACGCAAGGAGGCTTGTAATTGAAAATTTCAGTTGTCTCAAAAATGTCTTGAAAGCACACACACAGTTTCTTTTAAAAAAAAATAAAAATGCACCCATGTATCTGGGTATCTCTTTGCCTGTCTCTTTGTCAGGTGTGCAGCTCGAGATAAGGATTCCAGGCAATACCACCACCTGCACTATCTCAGGGCTGGAGGCAGGCATGGAGTACAACATCAACGTGTTTGCTGTCATTAACAACACTATCAGCATCCCTGCCAGTATCACTGTTTGGACCTGTAAGTGTAGCCCTGTGTGTGTTTCTAGTTGTTTTTTTGATAAAATGTTCCCATGAGAGGCGGCTGGATGTTCCACCGAGGCCGCGTTGTAATTTAACACATCGATTTACTTGCATAAAAGCGTCCCCTTCACATGCGTTCGTGCACTCGCGCAGTCGTTCCTGCAAATGCGCTCGCACCCTTTTTTCTCCCAAAGCTGTTTCTCAGTGTTAATAGACTGACGATGCCACCCGCTCCTCCGTGTGAACTGCTTGTGATTTTCACCTGCAACAACTGCTCGGCGTCGCTCGCACACTCACACCGACCTGATAGGGACGCATCCCTGTTGCTTTCACACCTACCCTAAAGTGTGCAAACTTATCAAACGCCTGAGAAAGTAATAGCCTGCAGAATATTCCATCAGCTGTGCATACGCTGACGTCGCCATTAGTGACGTCTTTGCTGGTGAAGTTGTCCTCCATTTCTCAGATAAGTGAATTTAATTTCAGTCGTAGCAGAATTTGGAGTAATAAAGTCAATTTAGGGCAATTAAGCTTGATGCAACCATTTTTCAGTGAGGATTTGATTTATCGGGTTGTCTTTGCTAAACCTAATTATAAAATGAAGAATTTGATTATCTGGAGGGGTTTTTGAGCAGAGCTGCCTGCGAAATATGTAATTTTTTTGCAAAGTCAAAGTTAAGGTTATTTGTTTTAAACTAAAGAAACTAATGTTCCAAGGGTGTTATGTATGTGTTACGCTCAAAACCGTGAAAGTAAACACGTATCCAAGCCTCGCAAAGTCCTGTCGGTACATCTTCAGAAGCAGGTATTAATGTTTTAAAGTGCTGTAAACAAGAAGTAACACACACATATATATATAAGTACGAATGTGAAAATCAATAATGCTCCTGCAGCATCACTCATAATCAAAAGAGAAGCCAACAGAACAGAAAAGAAACGTGTAAGAGAAATGTTGAGCGTTGGACACCTTACGCATTGGATGAAGTCATGATTTATGGGCTGTGTGGGTCACTGAAGAACAATAATTCGTCTCTGGCTACCTCTGCAGATCTCTCCAATCCGGATGGTTTAGTCTTCAAATCCATCACGGAGACGTCGGTGGAGGTCCAGTGGCAACCCTTCTACTATTCCTTCGACGGATGGGAGATCAGCTTCATCCCCAAGGTAGAGTACAGCCGTGTGAACGCTCAGCCGATGTGTTTGCCGACGGTGTTAACGTGACAGTGAAGCTGCAGCGTCCTTGTCAGACAGATGTTTCGCGCTTTTTGTGAAATATTCTTGATTGAAAAGAATTATTTTCAGATCTCACTAATCTTTAAATGGCTGGGAATGCGCGAGTAGGAAGAGGGAGGAAAATAACTGAGTGGATTAGGTTTTCTTGGGGGTTTTCTCAACTTGAAGCCCATACCGAATTAAACAAGCGGATTGTCTTAAGCTTATTGGCTATTAGATGGATGAGCCATTAAACTCTTTTCCAGAATAACCCCCTTCGCAAAACCATACAGGAGCCGGGTCCAAAGCCAAAAAAGCAAGAACCTTTCTCTTTCTAATTCCTGCTGTAAACTCAGGTACTCTCTGAACTCTAATCTCGCCCCCTCTCACAGTAATTGGTTTTCTCCTTTAAGGTGTTCTCAGGGGAGATATCCTTTGGTCCGGCCGGGCACTAAGCCTCAAATCTGATGTTAAGATGCTTTTTTGTATTTATTCTTGAAGCCCTTTTTAAGGATAGCAAGTTTGTGAGTGGAAAAAAGCAAGAGTGGCTTCTAATTTTATTTTACTGCTTTTAGGTCCTTTTTCCCTCCGTCCGTTCGTTCATGTCTCACCGCTGTCTGAATGATTCGAGCATCTCCCTCACCCTAAGCTCTTGCTTTTTTCCTCTCCCATCCACCACCGCTTGTTTTAAATCTGTAACCCTTTCCACTCCACCCCTCGAGACGACCCTCCGTCTCTTTTCTCTCCCCTGCTCTTCCTCCCTTCTCTGTATATGTTCTTTCCTCAATCTTTTCTCGCTTTCCCTCCTCTCTCTCTCTCTCTCTCTCCCTCTCCAGCCACAGGGGAAATCATATTATGAGTTGGCAGTCCCACCCCCCGTGGATTTAATCCAGCAGTGGGGATTGCGAATTTTGACAATCTCGTAATGGAAGTAGGCATGAAAGCTTTGGCCTATGCGAACAAACACAAAACTCACTACCCTGTAAAGAGGAAACAGAGTGAGAGAGGGAGGGCGAGCGTCTTGGAGACCCAGCGTTAACACTGTTAGAAACAGCTAGAGTCTATATATCTAACATTCCAATAAAACATTATACTGCCAGTGTTTTAGCAGCACATACCCACGGCGTCTTATAGGTTACGTGTCGGACTTTCGGTGATGAATTGGTAAAACTAAAATTGCAATTGTTGAATCAGTTTCTGTTGCGCAAGTATCGGGGTCACGTACAGTCATTAAAAGCAATCTTAGTATTTAATAATATCCTGTTTGCGACTTTTCCGTCAGGGGTTGTTTCCATTTTCCTCAAAATACAGTTTTTTGTTTATTAGTTTTTTTCGAAATGAAACTCATAAGAAGTCACAGAATGATGAGTTTCCCTGAAGCGTCCCGGCGTCGTGGTTTATCGTCAGGCAGGCGGTTAAATGTCAGAGGGTCGGGGCACATGATGAGGCTGCGCAAACCTCCAGTGTTCTCTTTAAATGAAGCATCGTGTTCCTAAGTGATGTCTGCATACATGATGGTAATTCAGGCCTGTGGTGCTCCTCTGAAGCTGCATCATCCATCCATCCATTATCTATACACCGCTTAATCCTCACTAGGGTCGCGGGGGGCTGGAGCCTATCCCAGCCGACTTAGGGTGAAGGCAGGGGACACCCTGGACAGGTCACCAGTCTATCACAGGGCTACACTTAGAGACAGACAACCAAGCACACTCACATTCACACCTATGGACAATTTAGAATCACCAATTAACCTCAACATGTTTTTGGACTGTGGGAGGAAGCCGGAGAACCCGGAGAGAACCCATGCTGCACGGGGAGAACATGCAAACTCCATGCAGAAAGATCCTGGGTGCCCCCACCGGGACACGAACTGGCGACCTTCTTGCTGCGAGGCAACAGTGCTAACCAACTGCCCCACCTGCAGCCCAAAGCTGCATCATGCTAAAAAAAAAAATGCTGTGTGGTTAAAACACAACCTGATGCATTCAAACCCACACTGTATGTGCTTAACTTGCCCCAGTAGTGTCTGAGAAACCTGTCAGGTTTTTTTTTTTTTTTTTTATCAATGCGCTCAAAGCATTAAAAACATTTTTAAAATTCAACAGCAAAGTGTTTTTTCTAGAAAACTGCGTTGCTCTTACTTTGAATACTTCATACGCTGCAACTGTCAGTTGCTTTTTATCGGAGCTCCTTTCTTCATTATAAAAACTGTTGAGTTTTACTGTCTCTTTATGCCCCCCATTACTGCCCTTAAAATACATTATGAATGATGGCATGAGAAGCATTTTACGAATTTTCACTCCAACTTCGGTGTGAAAATTCATAAAATAGGTTTTTCATCCCATCATTCACGATGATACATATTTCAGTATCTTGGCTGAGAACAGGGCAAAGCTTTACATCATTCAAGTTTTATCATTCTTTTTCTTTATATTGGAGGCAAAGTAAGCATAAAAAAAAAAAATGGATGTCTTTGTTATATTCTCTAAAAACTGAGAGACTTTCTGCCACTTTTTTCAGACACATAAAATTATATGTTGTCTAACCGAACAACTTAATTACCCTCATAAATTAGCCAAACGTATAAATGGGCAATTAAATAGTCACACATTCTCGTCGCCCATTGTCTCAATGAAATTAAAGTAATAAAAATACTAAGAACTGCGCTCCAAAAGCGACCTTGTCAGCGCAGAGAATGATGACTAATTGTGAACAAAACGACACAGGAGATGGGAGTGGGATATACTGTTATGGCAATTCATTTAGTTTAATTTAGCTTCGCCTTCATGTAACTGTAATATTATTGAGATTGAACGCCGCGAGTTGTCGGAACATTACCGTTGCATTTTACTGCCCACCCTGGTAATTTAGTTGAGGTGATTAAATGGATTAAATCTCTAATTACGGATCTGATTCAGGAAAGTAGCAAGCTGTTGTATGTTCTGCTTTAATACAAGCCTTCAAAGCGCCGGCGTTTGGGGATCTTGGACCGGCAGAACGCGTAACATCTGTCTGTCGGCGGGAAGTGCATTTTGCAACAGTGGCTCTCCGAGAACAGCTGGGAATAGCCGGGGCTCCGTATGGATGAGTGACAAGCCTTTTTGGATATGTACAGAGTGCTGCCTCTGCAGAACGTGGCCTGAGAAATATCACTGTAGCATACCCGTTTTTGCAAAGTAACACGGTTAGGGAATTTAATGCGCTAAGCCATCCAGAAGTTTAGAAATAAGTCAAAAGAAAAGGCCACAGCATGTACAGTTCAGGAAATTTACTGCATAGAAATTAGCTGCATGAGTCACTGTTTCTGTTGTAGTGGTGAGGATCTGTGTGTTTTTTTTTATCTGCCAGATTGTCTTACCTCCACTGAGAGAAGCAGTTTGTGCCTACTGTTGCTGACATTTACTCAAAAAAAGTGTGTGATAGACATGAATCTCTTCTCACTTCTATCTTTGTTTTGTTCCCCAGGACAACGACGGAGGGATGACGGCACAGCTTCCCAGCACCATCACTTCTTTTGTGCAAACTGGCTTGAGGCCCGGCGAAGAGTATACGGTGAACCTGGTGGCGCTGCGAGACCAGGGTCGAAGCCAGCCGGTCACTGCTACCGTCACAACACGTATGTATAAGTGGAAGCTGTGAATTATTTAAGATAATACTAAGGGGAATATAGCTGTTTGCTGTCTTATATTTAATATTACAGTGTTGGATGTTCACAGTAAATGTGGCCAAAGTTTCAGATGATGAGGTGAATGTATGTGAAAGTTATTCCTGTGAGCCAAAAGGCTGCAGACTGATCTGAACATTAGGTTTCCAGTGTTGTTTTCTATGTTTGTGCTGAGCTGACACCAGTTCCTCTTCATAAGGTCATCTGCTCCAGGCGCAGCACTCCCACAAAGGCAAAAAATACAGTCTTCTTAGTAAATGTATGTATAGGTTCTTGCAAAACATTCTACTTTAGCAGTATTAAAGGCGCATTAATGTACTCCAGCATTCAAATAACTGACATGGAGACAGTCACAGAATAACATTTAACCAGCTACATTACTGTTTCCATATTTAACATAGCACAGTTTCCGCTTCACTCGGCTTTTGACAGGGCCATATATATTTTTAAAAAACATATTCATGGCCCTTAATTAAAAGACCAAATCCACCGTCATGCCACAGAGTAAGCAGGTAATGAGCGTGATATTTACCAAACACACATCCGGCTGTAATCTTTATTGCTGCGGATGTTCCTGCCGTCCAGTCTCATCGGATTCAGGTTCAAACATGTACAGGTGGATTTGACAACTTTCCATTTCCAATCAAGACTGAGAAATCAATGTTACTTTGCAGGTTCGCAGTTTGCTTTTAGAACTCCACTCTGGTGAGAGGACGAGGTGGTGCTCACGAGCAGAGGCTTCCGTAAAGCCTGCCAATCAGAAGACAGCGGGCTTTTAGGGAGGGGGGCCAAACTATGCGATTTTAACAATCTTATAAGTTCACAGCTAGCTACATTGTACGACATGAATCTAATACTCTTTGGGCACAACAGTCCCAAGCTTGCTGTGTGCAGATTGCACGATGAAAACGCAAGCTGAATCGCAGCCTTCGATGAGTCGACGTGAATGCGCAAGAATAAAACGTCGTAAACGTCCATCAAGAAACTAGCGAAGCATAAACAGAGCCCTCACCCTTGTAGCATTTATATGTTTGGAAAGAAATCCCCCATCTCTTTCGCCGAAAATCGCAGTGTGTAGCGGGCTTTAGAGAGACAGATGCAAAAATAGCCTGACAGTGGATGAACCGAGGGGCGGCGTAAAGGGCCGGCCTAAGATAAGCAAGGATTTTTCAAACAATAAATGCAAAGCTACTCCGGTGGAGTCCTTGAATGCAAATATAGATCTGTTCATAATATATCCTCTTTAAAATGCAATGTAAATCAGCCATGCATCCACTTTATTCCACCTGTCATGTTGAACATAAACGAGATGCATTAAAACGCTCTGCAGTCCAGCAATGCAGCGAAACATCAAATAAAACCGGAAAAGCTTTGCAGTCGAACGGCAGATCTGTTACACTGGACTGCATTAGATTTCACAGGTGTGCCTGTAAGTGGCAGGTGAGTGTACGTCCCTGATGTAAACCTCACTGAGGTGCTGCCTGCACTCCTCACCCAGCTGACACTACTTAGACAGCTGTAATAGATCCAATTCAAGTCTCGTCCATAACAATTCAGACTGTGATGTCGGCAGTCAAAACATCATCAATTTCCTGTCAAGTCTTTGTTCATTTCGTGGGTTGTAATTAAGTATCGATTAATAATTCATGGCACTCTCTCATCAATTTTTCACGGCGGCCCACTCCATGACACCTTATTGGATAAAGAAAGAGGAAAAGACAAATTTGAAGTTACTAAATTATTTATAAGAAAGATTTATCCCTCCTTGGAGACGGGTGGAGCGCGATGAGGAGTCAGAGGAGAAGCAGAGGGAGAGCACAGCTGATGTGGGATCTGGTTCTCAGCAACTGTCTTCCTCAGGATGTTTTCTAGGACAAGACCCAAGGGGCCAATTTCTAATACATCAAGGATCAGGGTGGACCTGCAATATGTCAAGCCTGAGTCTGGGACTTATTTAGATCTCAAAAAACTCAAGGAAAAAAAAGAGCGCTGGTCCGAAATCACTCAGTGTGTGAGATGTGTCTTTCACATGACTTCCCCCTGGGGCCGGCCACAGTGAGTAATTACGCTATCACAGCCCAGCGTGGAGCCTTCAGTTTAAAAACGTGTACGCTGAAGTATCTATAGCGGCATCCTGTGTTGGTCGGTTTGCCAGGATTAAATGATTTGCACACCTTTTTCAAACACAATTGAGGCACTAATTACTTCCAATTAGCTGACATAAATTAGGCATTAACGTCATTTCAGCTTTAGCGTTGAGCTTCATTTAACTGCAGCTGAATTTAAGAAGAAAGGTTCAGATTTGAGATCAAAATTTTGTACATTTTTCCAAGACGTCTCTTAAAACAACACGTCGTACCACAGAAGTAATTAACAGGTTAATGAAATAAAGTGCTAATTATCACATTCTCCAACAGCCCATTAGCTTGACTGAAACGTCTACTTATTGGCACTGATGCTCCAACAATGAGAACACAGAGAGAGAAAATGCTGAGCGAAACCCTCGTCTGTCAAACATTTGTGTTTTACTCATCATGCCTGATGTGTTTCCGCTCTTCACTCCTAATAAGTGTTGTTTTCTGGCAATCAGCGCAGAGAGGCTTGATTCATGGCTTGTGTTTTACACCTTGCACAGATAAAGCCGAGCGTCAGGTCTGATAAGTTTTACATGATTAGCTGTCAGAAGAGCTTTTACTGATAACGCATCCGCATCGACTGCTGCAGAGCACGAATCATTAACTTGAACATTTGAGCTTTCAGCGAATGAAGGATTTGAACTTACCCAAACCAAAAGTAAGAATAAATTCTGTTAAGTCATGGTTTGGTCATTTTCATGGAATTTTGCTATTTTCAGGTTTTTTTTGTACAACTTTTACAAAACAATAGCTTAGCTTTTTTTTATTTGAAAGAAAATGGGATTTTGGAGACAAATATGTTTGAATTCTAAAACAGGAGATTTATCTTGCCCCCTTTATCTTCAGTTTATCTGATGTCAGTGACTCCCAACCTTGGTGCTGCTCCAACATATCTTTTGGCTGATGAAAATGGAATAAATAGGATACGTGAGGAGAGGGGAAAAAAGTAATTCAATGTTGACTTGTGGAATAGTTTCAACTCTTTGGGCTTCAAATGCACTTAAATGAGACTGTGAAAAATTAAGAGTTCAATACTGTTAACCAGGGATGTCTGATATTGGCTTTTTTTGCCAACATCCGACATGCCGATATTGTCCAACTTTCAATTTCCAATTCCGATATCAACCAATACCATTCATCCATGACCTATACACCAGTTAATCCTCACTATTTACAGGATTACAGTTTAATGATTATCTTTAAAAATCATCTGATGATGTTATTTATCCATTTTACCGCTTGAGTATTTAAAAAAACAACAACAATAAAAATAGAAATGGTGTTGCTTGATAAAGAACACAAACCAAAAGTAAAATATTTCCATTAAAGCTCCTTAAAATCTACTTTTAGTTGTTCCTACTCTGTCAGAATATACTGTTCAAATATTTAATATATTAAAAAAAATGTCTGATGTTTCTTAGCCCAAAGGGACAATTTTAAACGAACTGACATCAAACCTACATCCATCCATTATCTGTACACCGCTTAATCCTCACTAGGGTCATGGGGGGCTGGAGTCTATCCCAGCTGACTTAGGGTGAAGGCAGGGGACACCCTGGACAGGTCACCAGTCTATCACAGGGCTACACTTAGAGACAGACAACCAAGCACACTCACATTCACACCTACAGACAATTTAGAATCACCAATTAACCTCAACATGTTTTTGGACTGTGTGGGAGGAAGCCGGAGAACCCGGAGAGAACCCACGCTGCACGGGGAGAACATGCAAACTCCACACAGAAAGATTCCGGGTGTCCACACCGGGACGTGACCGGCGACCTTCTTGCTGCGAGGCAACGGTGCTAACCACTGTTCCACCTTGCAGCCCTCAACCTATACCGATATATGTTTATTACTGCAGCCACACTTGTTGACGCGCTTCACAACGCAGTTTGATGATCATTTGTGCGCTGGTAAATCCAGGCATTATTTTATTGGTTTTCATTACAGGCAAAAAAAAAACAAAAACGATGAAGATATTGACAGGTATTACATTTTTATGCCAATATCAGACATCCCTACTCTTAACTTATAGACTTGTGACCTGTGATAATGAAAGCATGTTCAAAAAGAGCAAGTTATACAAAATCAAAAGTGTTAAATTGGCATTACAAACGTCAACAAACACCAAGATGCAGCAATACACAGCAAGCTTGATTAGAGCTCCCACCGTGGTGCCTCAGCTTTGTTTACAGAACAGGACACTTTATAATTCTGCTTCTTTCTTTTTTTTTCTGTTTCGCAGTGATTGATGGTCCGACTCAGCTGATCGTGCGCGACGTGTCAGACACCGTGGCGTTTGTGGAGTGGACGCCACCAAAAGCAAAGATTGATCAGATTGTGTTACGATACGGCCTCGTGGGAGGAGAAGGGCCGCGGACCACCTTCCGCCTTCAGCCCACACTCAGCCAGTACTCTCTGCAGGTGTGTGTTTAATCATGTCCTCGGGTCACAGATCTGATCATACGCTCACATTATGGGGGCTCACCTGCCATCTGTGGAGAGATAAAAAAAAAAAAAACAGCCCTCACAAGATAAAAAGTTTATCTCTGGGTTGAGACTTGGCTGTAGGGTCATTATGCTGTTCTAACAAATGTAGCTACTTCCTGGTAAACGTGTGTGTGTGCTTGTCATGCTTGTTAAATTATCTGATCTAGTCTGCCTGCCTTCTGTGTCTGGAGATAAAACAAAAATGACAAAAAAAAATCTATGCAAAGAGATTAAACAGTCTGTCTATTTTATTTATTTTTTTCTCCCATTCCACAGGTTCTGCGTCCCGGCGCTCGTTACGAGGTGTCTGTGAGTGGTGTGAGGAAAGGAAACGAAAGCGGATCCATTTCCACTGAATTTACTACCGGTGAGGTCTGACAGCGAGCAGATGTGGTGATAGTGGTGTGCGTGATCCTGCGCCTGCCTCTGAGAATAGAACAGCAATGACATATGGCCTAATGTACGCCACACGGTTTATCTGTGTTGGATAGCGTAGCGAACATCTGCTCGAGGTAGTTTTTTGCTCCTGTAAAGTTTGTGCAAAAAGAACGTACTTTATTTATGATGTGTTTTGAGTGCAAGTAATACTTTAAGCTGCATCTACAGGGGACATGTTTGCAAATGATGTCTAGTTATACATTAGATATCTGTTTAGATTCATCAAATGAAGTAAAATGTGCAGAAGATGACTGAAAGGATGAATGTAATTAAGAAGCGACTGATGATGATCTTGCAGATCATTAAGTCTAGTAAACGACACTTTAACCTGAATCTGTGTCTGATGCTGTTTGAACTGCTGATGTTTGCTTGTTCACCATCCTCGAGAATTGGTCTCAGTGTCCCCAACATTGTCAGCTTTATCATTCTTCTCAGAGATCGATGCCCCCAAGAACTTGCGGCTCGTGTCCAAGACTTCCACCACTCTTGAGCTCGAATGGGACAACAGTGAAGCTGAGGTAATGACACGTGGAACAAGTTCAATTAATTATTGTTGATTTGCTTTCAGACACTTTGAATGATCAGCGGAGGGGAGGATGAGTAATGTATCTGAGGACAACAGAGTTTAGTGATCGTCTTGATTTGCTCTGTACGAAGCTATCTGTATTCTGACACAACAGTTGGCTTGATGTGGTACTTTAGATAGTTCAGAGGTACTTTAACTTTACTGTTAGAATACTTTACATTTCTACTCCACTACAGTTTAGAGTGATTTACATTTGTTTCACCTTGTTTTCACCATGTTAATTTTAGCTATTACGCTATCATATGCAACTTGTGATGAGTATTTTTACACTTTTATCCAAAGCGACATACTTTTGAGAGTAGATCACATTCATACACCAATGGCGACAGAGCTGCCATGCAAGGTGCCTGCCTGCCATTGGGAGCAACTTTTGGGTTCAGTGTCCTGCCCAAGGACACTTCGACTGTGGGGGGGGCCGGGGATCGAACCTTTCAATTAGAGGACAACCCGCTCTACCACCTGAGCCCAGTATTAAAAATATATTGTGCAGTTTAATACGTTCAAACTGAATCTAAACTAGCTAAATGAACTCTACATTGGCAAAATGCTGCTGACTTGTTAATGAATCACTAACCATTACCCAACATCATATCAATATGATACGCTGGACAGGCTCAAAATGTCCGCTTTTCTCTCAGTATATCAAATCCAGACCTTCCTGAAATATATCCTTCCTACTACAAGCTCTCCAACAGAACCTTCGCTGCCCCTCACATTACTGTGATTACTCTGTTTATTTTGCCTCCTTTTGTAAAAATAACTAATTTTCTCTTAATCCTCTGACATTACGGCTCTTCCTGAACACTTGCGATAATGCCGGTTTTTATTCCTTCAGTTTTTTTTTCTCCCTTCCTTGAGTACTTTATCATCACACGCAGGTGGGTCTGCCTTTTGTTAGCGTGGTAAATGCCAATAACAGAAATGGAACAAACACTTCACTGGGTGCAAATGGTCACTGAATGTTTTACTCTGAATGAAAATGTAATAAATCATGTTGTTTCACTCAGTAGTCACAACGATGTTTCCAGGGCTCACTAACTGCACACCCGGACTTATGAAGCCTGTCTGTCTCGACGCCTGTTAGCACTGCATATTTATTCATGCTCGTGATTCTGCTCGGCAGAGGGGTTGACAAAAAGCCAAATACCACACTGGGCCGAGACAATCCCAACCATTTATTCCGCGAACAAACGACGCTCAGTTAAAACAAACAAGAATTTTGGTTTTTTTTTAATTGTTTGTGCAAATCTTGTATTTCTCCTTATTTTTGCTGAGAAAACTTTTTTTTTTCCAGATCAGTTTGGTGTTGTAAACGTTTAAATAACTGTGTTTAAATGTAGGTGGAGGGCTACCAGGTGGTGTACAGCACACTGGCAGGAGATCAGTATGATAAAGTCATTGTACCACGCAACGAGGGAGCCACCACCAAGACGATGCTCACAGGTGAGTGAAGAGGAGTGGTTTCTTCATTCTTTCATTTAGTCAATTTTTTTTTTCTTGAATTATTTATCATCAAAACATCTGTGTGGCTCTTCAGCTCAGTGTGCTGTTGTTTTTTTCCCCCCCCTCCTGCTTTTCTATCCAGTATTATCACAGTGCATCTAATGTGTACCGAAGAAGCCGGGAAGTGCCTGTGTTTTACATGGCAGGATTATCTCCAGAACACTTGGCTGATGGGCCACTGATTGTATCTGTAGAAATGCTTGTTGTCCTGCGGGCATATTGAAAGGCTGTCAGGAAGAAGGGGTCAGCTGGGATGTTTTTTCCCTGAAAGGCCATAGTGCTGGAAAGGGCATGGCCTGCATAAGAATAGAAGCGAAAGGTCCTTGTGTTATTCTGTTCGGCCATTGCAATCGATGCTCTCCCCCGCTCTCATTCCTTCTCTGTCACTCTCACTTTCTCCCTCCCTCCCTCCTCCTGCTAATAATCTGTCGCCTGCCCGCTTCTTTTTCATTGCTCATCTCTTCATCTCTTATTTCTCTGGCTTGAGAAACTCACTGCGGATGTACACGGAATTGATTTGAATCTGATCAATTATGCAGTTGGCATAAAAAAACCTCCAGAAATCATATTGATGTACATGTAAATTTGCCTAGACCTCATCACCGGTGTAGAGCTAATTGGGCTGTTATGAAAAATTCCATCTAATTGACATGCACTTTGTGTGAGGAGGAGAATGTGCAACAGTCTGCGTGTTGTTTTTTTTTTTTTCTTGCTATATTGTGTGATAAATTAGTTACTCGTTCTCTTTCTCTGTCTTTGTGCCTCAGACTTGCTCCCAGGCACAGAGTATGGCATCGGCATTTCTGCCATGAAAGGTAGCAACCAGAGTACCCCGGCAACAATGAATGCAAGGACGGGTGAGTGAATTACGCTTTATCTCCGCTGTTAAAAGCCGGTGATTCAGTCGTGCACACGAGACACACTGAGTGAAACGCAGCAGCGCTGTAGTGACTATCTCAGCATCACAGCAGGTTGGTTTGCCCTTTTGTCATTACACATGTAACTCCCAGTCAGTGCCGAGGTCAGCGCCACCGTTCCAACCGTTAAAAGTCATTTTAGCAAAATTAAGCAATTCAGATTTTTGGCGTGACTTGCGCCACATTAGGGAGGTGTGCGGCTGTTTTGTTATTGGGGGGGTCAAAGTTGCCATTACAACATTTTAAAGCTGTAATAATGCATTCCATTTGGCTGATGGCTCTCTCTTTATCTGGGTACTTGATCAGCGATTTGAATTTTTATTGTGTTTTGAGTTGTTTGGCTGAAAGAAAGAAAGAAAGGAAAAAAAAAAAGACCCCATTTAACCTCCTGTTTGAAATGTTAGCGCGTGGAGGTGCTTCGCTAATCTTTCCCATCACGGTGACTGTCAAGCACATATTTTCTCCGGTTGCAGTTATTTTAATGGCTGAAGGTATTTTGCACTTTGCAAAAATTATGCCTCCATTTCCCATCCGAACAAGCTCGTTCCGTGCCTCTGGTCCGTGCACTCTTTTTGAACTTTTGAAAATGCGCCGTGTCTATCTCATCGTTTTCAGACGGCAACACCTCCTGCATTCCCGGCACACGGCAACGCTCACGTTACTATAAGTCTGAGCTGCTCCAAGCATCATTTCCATAAACAGTAGTTTTAGTTGTTTTTTTTTTTCAAGAAAAAGAAGAAAAAAAAACTCGACACAGATGCAAAACACTGAAGGTTCAGACAAACAGGGCAGCAGAAGATTAGCTGAGAATTAAACAGCGATGATCCAGCGAGCAAGTTGGGTTACTGCCGCGGAAAAGAAAAAGACGAACTTGAAAACACAAGAAATATCAAAAGATAAAACAACAGATTGTGAGAGGACTGCTAATACGAAGGTCCTTTTGGAAATGAACATCCTGCCGGCAAACTGTTGCATTTTTATCAGCACTGGTCCGTCTTTTGATGTCAGTGCAGCGCTACAGAAGAGGGATGTAAGGATAGTAGATAAGACGGTACAACAGAAGCTAATTATAATCTAGCGTTTCTGTTCAACTTTCCATTTTCATTATTGATTAGCCGGCTAATTGTTTTTTTTTTTTCCCACAAGATGATTACCCATTTGGTCCGTCAGAAAACTGAAAAATGGCTCCAGACAGCATTCTAGAGCCAAAGCTGACACAAAAAGACGCCTCAGTTTGTCCGGCCAACTGTTCAAAACACAGAAATGTGGACGATCCTCAAAACAAATGTGCATCAGTGCATTAGTTACCATCAACTCTGCGAGAAAGTTTTGTGGCTCCTTGGGGACTGAAGTGACATCGTGGAGCCAGTTTTCCATGAGGCTCCTGCTCTGTTTTTCAATCTAATTGTGTCACACTATTCCGCCAAACAACAGCAGGTGATAATAGGCTATGATGTGCTGCAAAGACAGCAGAGAAAAAGACTGTAAACACAAATACAAACCATTTAAAGGAGCATTAAAACATTCAGTATCTGAAATTGTTACCTGTTGGTGCACTCAGATGCATTCTCCAGAGCAACCCTGTTAGTATGCCCATGCAGTACTCTGCCTTAATTTCAGCTGCTGTAAGTGCATTTTTGCTGAAAGTGCTGTGGAGCACCTGTGCTTTTAGTGAGGTCCAGTTTTCCCTCTTTCAGGCCTGGATGTACCATTAGACCTGACTGTGACGGCGTCTACAGACAACACCATTACTCTGGTGTGGGGCCTCGTCCAGGGCCCCATCGACCACTACAAGGTCACCTACACGTCTTCTTTTGGCATCACCACCGAGGTAAAGACATCGACCGGATCGCAGATACAGCACATCGTAGCACATTTACTGTATGTCGATGCTCAGGTGTTCACAAACCTATCTGCCCTCATCCTGGTGAAAACCACACAAAGCTGTTATTGTAAAGAGGCACTGCAGTGTGTCGAGAAGATCCACTGAGTTTAACTGATCCTGTCCGTTCCAGCTGACGGTTCCTAAAGACGTAACCACCACCACTCTGACGGACCTGGAGCCGGGGACTGAGTACACCATCACTGTAGCAGCCAGAAGAGGAAGGCAGCAGAGCACTGCAGCCACCATCGACGCCTTCACAGGTAGAGAGCACAGTCGCACTGACGGCGCTTTGCTTTTTCACAGCAGCAGGATCGGCCGAGTCGCACACCTGAGACACGTATTTAGGAGATGCGCGGTAATCAGATGGGAGTGGGATGAGATAATTTCCTTTGTGCTTTTCATTACAACAGCTTGACGTAAACTTTTCTAAACAATATCAGTTTAATCCACTCAATTATCAGACGGAGCTCAAACAAATTCACTCCCGGATGACTCACGCGCAGATAAACACATGAAAGATCAGCCCGTTACTTCAAAAGCCAGAGAGAAGTTCTAAAGACAACGACGCGTAATGAAGTCGAATGGTGGATATAATGAACTAAAGTGTGGCAGCAGGTAAGGTGAGTCGCACTGAAAGAAAACGGAGGACCTTAAAAGACTTTGAAGAAGCAATTAGCGGAGGTAAATTATTCAAGTCGGCTAATGAGCTTGTTACAAGCGTTTCCTAATTGCGCCTCTGTTTCGCATCTAAATGTATTTGTGTTTTTGTTTCTTCTGACTCCTGTTCAACACCACGTTCTGCTGTCACTGTCTGCTCGCGCCGCTCGCTTGTTTTTCTTCTGTCTTGCCATCCAACTATGTGTCGCGTCACCCGGCAGCCTTCTCGGCTCCGCTACCGGAATTTCGACGCAGTTTTCATTTGCACAAAAGGACGGCGTCAAAATGACGGGCTTACCTGCTGTCAGACTTGTCATTCTTTTCTCCACCGCTGTCATTATCATCAGCTCTTTTCTTCTCCAGTTGTCACAATCACATCATCATCATCATCATCATCATCATCATATTCATCATCCATTTGTTATCCGTGGCTCCTTTGGTTGCACCACTTTAACCATCTGGACGGAGAGATGAAAGAATGATAAAATGACAGATTGAGACAATCAGAGGAAGAAATAATAAATTACCTGTCATCCTCTCGTCCGCGGTTCACTTGGTCGCATTGTCGACATCTGTCTGCCTGCACTCATAGGGACTTCGCGATAAGATCAAAAATAAATCTTTCACTGCCTGGTCCTTTTGTTTGCCTCTTTGTCCGTAAATGAACTCGTTATCTGCAAACAAACCTCATTACTCACGTATTTATCGTCGCGGCGGCGTTGCTGCACCACGAGCTCATTAATTGATTGTTCGTTTACAGTATGTATCGATTTACATAAAAATGCACTGCGTTCATTTGTTTATTCATTCTTCATTCATTCTTATTAATTATTTATTAATCTGTTTACAAGATACACGGTGCAAAATGTGGCCTCCATTAGAAGCACAGTAGTTTATTTTCATTATCTAGATGCTTGTGAAAAGTTCAGTTCTCTGTAACATTTCATTAACATTACAGAGTGATTTAGTATTGCACTTTCAGATGCGGCTCCTTAATGAGGGCCGAGCTCCAAAAAAAAAAAAAACGCTGGACCCCATATTTCTTACCAGTAGCATATTTTCATTAGCTCCTTCTTGCCGAGCAAAAGTCTTTGTTTGCTAATGCATCTTTGGGAAGATCCTCCAGTTCGCAGCCAGAGAAGACACAACTTTTTTCACTGGCCAAGTCCAGTAACATTGAAAAGTTTCTCTTTAAGGACGCATCATCTTCTGTCTGTGCTAAGAAAAGTGTCATCAAGACCTGGCTCAACATCTCACATCACCTCCACTGCCTCCGTGTTTCTGCATCCGCCTGCCTTTTAAACCACTAACTCTGCAAACGACTCGTCGCCGTCGTCTTGACCACTTTCATCTTAACCAACACCAGCATGGCCGTCACAACTCTTTCTGGAGTGTTTCATCTGTAATTAAACCCAGTCTTTCCTCTCTAAAGAGCCATGTTTGGATGAGTGAGTCACTTTTCGTGTCCTGTCTTTTGCCACTTCTGCGAACAAGGACACGCGAGTGCAACACTATCAAGAGGTCTACGTGATACACATTTCTGCTGACTGTACGGGGCAGTAATGCGTGTCGACAACTTGTGAAGGATAATAAAAGGTAGCAGGTCACCGAGAAGAACAGAGACGCAGGCCTGTGTGTATATAATATAATGCGGGTTTGGTGTGATGATTGATCACAGGGAAAACTCCACAGGTTGTCTGTAATGTGGACAAAAAACCAGAAAAGGGAGAAGTCAGTGTTGCTCCATTTTCACTGCACATCCACACATGGCTAATTCAATTCAACTCCTCTCGCATTTGTTGCTGCGTCAGCCGGCGAACTAGTTCATATTCACGACATCATCTCCCATCCAGGTCATACGTTTTGACAACAGCATCTGCTACTATCATCCTTTTTCCATTTTCTTATTACGAACAGTCCCATCACATCTTCATCTTAATGGCGGATAATCTCATTAGTTTCCCTCTTTTATGACCAATTAAATCATTACTTCCACATGATTGTGGTTTGCTCTGACTCTCACCTTCCTCATCAAGATTACACCCGAGGCTAATTTTCTCAACTGTGTTATAAACGATCTGTTACACCATTCAGGACCGCTTCCATCCATCACTGAATGGCTTGTCTGTCATCTCCATAACGACGGCGACTGTTTTTTTTTTTTTTTCCTTTCCATTACCTTTTCCTGCTCGCAGCAGGGTTTCTACCTGTCCTTGAAAGCTCTCCGGTGACCTTTAAACCCCCCATTCCTCCAGGAATCAGGCCCGTAACCCACCTCTACTTGTCAGAGGTGACTTCAGACTCCGTGTCGGTGGCGTGGAGCGCCCCAGCACCGCCCGCCGACCTCTTCATTCTGAGCTACAGCTCTGCCGACGGGACCGACACCTCTAAGGTGACGCTGGACGGCTCCAAGACGAGGTCGCTGGTCCAGGGGCTGCTGCCGTCCACTCAGTACACCGTCAGTCTAATCACAATACAGGGGGATGTTACCTCTGAGCCCATTACTGCATCACTCACTACAGGTGAGCCGCTTGATTTCATGGAAAGGTGGTTTAAAAAGTGATGAAAACAGAGAAACATGAGGAGCGGAGTACAGGTTTGTGGTCTCTCTAAATAGCTGTGCACTGCTGTATTATTGTCTCTATGTGTGGATGGTGTGCATGCATTTTTCTGAGCAACAGCTAAAAATGATCACAATCGATTATTCTGCAGGCTGGTTTCTCATTTTCTATGATAAGCCTCTGGTCAGTAAAATGTCATGTCAATAAAAAAAAAATGAAGGTAAATGAACGTCACGGTTTCTTAAAGCTACAGCGGCGTATTTAACTCGTTTGTTTTGTCCGACTAACAGTCCAAAACCCAAAAGATGCTGTTTTTTTTTCACTTGACAGGGATTATTAATTATCAAAATAGTGGGCGATTGTTTTTTTAACAAATTAAATGACTAATCTTTTTTTGCTCTAATCAGCTTCATGATGTTTGTGAGTAAAAATACAGAACACAGAAAGCTTTTATTGCCAAGTGAGCTCGCACACACAAGGAATTTGACACGATGAATGAAACTGTGGTACAAGACAGGCAATAAATCTAAATCTAAAAAACTTCTAAATAAAATATTATATGTAAAAGAAAAGTATAAAAGCACTATGTTAATAAAAAGTACTGTGAAAAAGAGACAAACTTCCCCAAACCAGAGTAATTAATTAGAAAATGGTTTAAATAACAATATTGGACATAACAAACTGCACTTCTCTCTGTTGGATTTATTGCTGAAGATAAAACCGGACTTTCCCTGAATCCCATTTTAAAAAATGGGATTTTAAAAAAAACAGAGGTTGGTCATAAAAAAGAAAAGATTTTTGGAAAGAAAGTGGTGAATTTGCATATATGAGGTAAAGTGGAAATGGAAGGGAAGAGAAATCATTTTAAGAAATGGAAATACAAAGTGATTTTAAATTAAATATGTATTTGCAAAAAAAAAAAAAAAAATGCTGGTTGAGCATTTCATTTGTACGAAACCACAGCAGAATGAGTTCTGTGATTAGAGGCTGCCTCGGAGGTTTTTCCTTTTTTCTTTCTTTCTTTTTTTTTTTTTTTTCTCAGGCTAAGAAACAGTAATGACAACACTGACTTGTCAACGGCAAGTCTGAAGAATGATCCAGCATTTTATTCTAAACTCAGATTCATGATTGTAATTTTGAGGGATAGTTGAGAAACTTCAGATAAATGCTGCTCTAATAAAGAGAAGGACATGGAGAAGGAGAGCAGTGAGGGAGTGTGGGTGCGACGTGACAGCTCAAATTGCTGCTGTAAAATAGAGGAGAGAGAGTCTGCTGACGCTTTGTGCTGGGTTTTGTCTCCTGTCTTGCCACCCATTTGAACTGATCCTTTTCTTTTCTTCCGTCGTTATTTTCCTAATCAGCCCCTCTATTATTTCTCTCCATTTCTTATTATTAAAATGTTTCCTGCTGTGCCGCAGTGATCCCTTCTTAACTCATTCGGTATTGCTGTTAAGAAGACAAAGCGAAGAGAATCTCCTTTTTATTCCTGGGAAGGGAGACAAAAAGGGAAATCATCCCAAGAGGAAATAAGAGAGGGGGGGCTGAAGACAAATGGAGAAAACAGGAGAGGCAGCGTAGAACAATGGAGATGTTAACTTAACATCAGAAACACCTGCGTCTGATTATGATGCCAGTTTGAAATAATGTACGTCTCGCCTTCTTTCTTTACTTTCACCCACACATAAAACACAGATTTTCAAAGGTGAAATTGGACGAGGGAATCGAGAAACACCTACAGTATTTCTTGCACCTGTGCAAATTTTCATGTCGTGCTTTGATCTCACACATTTAAACGTGAGCGTTGGTGAGAAACTGGTTTTCTATGTTATAGTTAGGTGCGCTTTTAGTGTTACTTTTGATTTATTTGATATATGTTGAAATGGGGGCTGCAGGGTGGCTCAGTGGTTAGCACTGTTGCCTCGCAGCAAGAAGGTTGCTGGTTCGCGTCCCGGTGGGGGCACCAGAATCTTTCTGCGTGGAGTTTGCATGTTCTCCCCGTGCAGCGTGGGTTCTCTCCAGGTTCTCCAGCTTCCTCCCACAAGTCCAAAAACATGTTGAGGTTAATTGGTGATTCTAAATTGTCCGTAGGTGTGAATGTGAGTGTGCTTGGTTGTCTGTCTCTAAGTGTAGCCCTGTGATAGACTGGTGACCTGTCCAGGGTGTCCCCTGCCTTCACCCTAAGTCGGCTGGGATAGACTCCAGCCCCCCCGCGACCCTAGTGAGGATTAGGCGGTGTACAGATAATGGATGGATGGATGTTGAAATGTTCCTGTAAGTCTTCCAAGCAGAGTCTGTGCAGGCCCGTCGTTCTTTGACAGTCACTCTGCCGCGATGGTCAGTTCAAACAGTGCTTTGAAGTAACTTAGCCTCACAGTGCAAACATCACTGCGATGCTCCTGGGGGGACGCAGCGTATATAACAATATATCTGTGACAGAACTGTTGCTTCTTTACATCCATACTTTCATGAGAAAATACATTTTCCGGCCATTATTCTTGGGTACCGCAGTTTCCAAAGCAAACATAATTAGTAAGATATGCATGAATGAAAAATCACAGCTTAAATAAATGCTATTGTATTTCATACACGTAGAATTTAAATGAGTTCAATCCCAGGAGTTATAAATTGCCCCCTCTGCTTGTGAATAGTAGCCATTATTCTTTTCAAAGCAGGGCAGGGGGAGTGCAGCAGTGGGTGCTTTTACACACAGTCCACAACAAAAGATGCACGTGATCTCCTCTTCCTCCTTTTTTTTTGCTTTTTGCCGTTCCCTTTTCGAACTTTTACTTTTCTTACTAACCACCCCTCTATTTATTTCTCCAGTAGCTAAGGACCTGTCATGGGTTTAATTGTTTGCTCACATTGTTTTCGCCGTAACCTTTTCCGTGGCAGCTCAATAGTCTCAGGAGACACATAAAACACATCGTCAGCGGGTGGGGGATCTCCCGCGTTCATCTGCAATACTAATGCAGCCCACGGAGTTCGTTTAGCAGGATGCAGCTCGGGGGTCTCCTGCAATAATTTTTTCAGATAAAGTTGCATTAAAAATGTATTTGCAGAGTAACAACTAACAATGTAATGAGGAGGGTGTGTCTAAATTTCCAAACTTACTCCATGATGCAGCACTATAGGCAACATTCAATGTCCTATGTTTTTCCATTGTGCACCATTGTGACCACATGCTAACACTTCCTTCTGAATCCTCCTCCTCTCAGGCATGGACCCGCCAAAAGAGATGACGGTGTCCGATGTGACCGAGGACGCGGTCACCATCTCTTGGATCAAACCGCTGGCTCCGTTTGAATACTACAAGCTGTCCTACCAGTCAGACAGAGGTAGCCCGCTCTACGCCACACGATGTGACGCGCCGAGTTTTAATAACACGCTATTTATTTTATTAACGTACGCAAAGCACACTGCTGCTGCTTGTTACAGTTAAGTGAACGTGGCATTTGCCGCACAGGGTCTTTCCGATGTGAGATACGTTTCAGAGTAGAGCACCCAGTCGCAAACCGTGTTCTACCTAATTAATTCTAACATTTTATCAGTGAACTTTAATAGAATTTTTAATTAAAATTCTACATTGATTAAATATTTACTCCGTGATGCAGAACTCACACACACAGCAGTCGGCTAGCGAGCGCACGCTGTCGAGAGATTAGAGTGACGAGTTTTTTGATGCTCAGATGTCGGCCTCTCTCTGGGTGCAGGTCGAGTGGACAGCATGGTGATCGACAGCGATGTGACCAACTACACCCTGTCCAGTCTGTTTCCGGCGACGGAATACGAGATCAGCCTCAACGCCGTCAGGGGGAGTCAGGAGAGCAAAGTTGTCAGCACTTCCGTCTTCACAGGTAGAGGAGCTAATGAGAGAACATTATTAGCACCATATTAAAGAGATAGCAGCCTGATAATCATTTAATTTCACTCGTTTAATTCATCCTGACACGCTGGCGAGGGATGACTTGTCATTTATCAGAGATTATTTATTTATATATATATTTTTTTCCTGCTAATTACTCAGCAGCGAGACATCTTTCTGTCCACCTGTCATCGTTTTATACCTGTCAAACTTTTTGTGGCCGTTTTCTCGTGCCTGGTTTTATGCGTGTAGCTATGAATCACACAAAGTATTAATTAGTTGATTTGTTCTCCGATTCAATTCAGTGTTATTGATAGAGCGCAACTCACAGCACATGTCATCTTAACATCGTGAGGTGAGAACCCAACAATCCAAAGCTGCCTTTAGACTCCATCTGAGCAAGCGGTCGGGAAGGAACCAAAAAACTCTCTCTAACAGGGAGGAGGGAAAACAACTCCGACAGAACCAGGTGGAACCAGTGGATATGGACATGACCAGACCGAGACCACTTTCCTTAAAATAAACCACACTGTGCTGCCGAGATAGAAAAATGTTCTTCAGATCTATCATCCTGTTTCAGCTGCACAGTGGTAGGAGCAGCTGGAACTAATGATTGTTTTTACTACGACTCAGTGTATCAGTTATTTCGCCAGCGAACGGATTCATTCTTTAGTCTATAACATTAGATTTTTACAATTTTTGCTTTCGCCAGCCAACAGCTTGCTCGTTTTGTCCAACCAACAGTCGTCACAGCTCAGAAGCTGACAATGTTTGGTATTTTTAAATTATTTTTTTGGCCTTTATTTGACAGTGCAATGAGAGAGAGACAGGAAAGTGGGGGAGAAGAATGGGGGAAGGACATGTGGAAAACGGCCATGAGCGGGAATCAAACCCATGACCTCCACATCCGGACTGTAGCCCTGAACATGGGACGCTCCACCCGGTGAGCTGTAGCGGCGCCCCGGTATTTTTACTTGAATAAATAATATTAATCAAAAATAAATTACCAAAATGTTTGGACTACTGGGCACACCTGAATATAAGCCACAGCCACTAACTTTAAAAAGAAAAAAAAAATTGTACATATACAGGCCGCACTCGTCTAAAAGCTGCATGTGTCCACGTTGTAACATGAGATATTTACACAGAAAGATTTTTTAAACTTTTAATTAAATACGCACTGTAAACGCTTTTTTCTGAAGAGTGCCTGTAACACGGCTGGTTAAGAAAATAAAAAATACAGCAGCCGACCAGGAAAAGTCATTGATCGCTATCTTCATCTCCCTCCTGAACACTAAAACCACTAAAGTTGTCTTCTGGATCTGGAGCTCCTGAACTACAGCCGCTGGCCTCACCTTTCTGCCCCCACCATGATGCCTCCTGTTACAAAAGGACAATAACTTCTAATAACTTGTTTAACTGTAAACTAAATTTTAGAATTCATCCTACATCCACCCAACCGGTCGAGGCAGATGGCCGTCCCTCCCTGAGCCTGGTTCTGTCTGAGGTTTTTTTTCCCCTGTGGGGGTTTTCGGTTCTTTCCCACTGTTGCAGACTGCTTGCGGACTGCTGAAGCTTATAGGGAATCCAAATGTTTTGGATTGTTGGGTGTTTCTGTCTCTGCCTTTGTTAAGCGCTATGAGATGACTTGTTGTTGTAAATATGCGCTATACAAATAAAATAGAATTGAATTCAGTGTCGGAGTTGAACAGCCTCAGCATCACTTCGTCACACACTTCCTCCGTCTCTCTTACGTTGTCGCTCTCAATGTCACTTATGTAAAAATCCATAAATTAGCTGCGTCATTGTTTTAGCCGCAGCGTTCAAAGTGTATGAAAAAGTAGCGGCTTATAGTCCAGTTAATTAATCGTTAGAAAACTATTGCCAGTTTGGCTAAATATCAATCAACTGGTAGGAAAAGTGCGTCCTTTTGTGTTTGCTGGTTGGTCGGTGAGGCTATGCTACCGCGCTCGCTCCAGTTCCGATAAAAATTCCCGCTGTTAGAGGGCAGCACAGGGCAAAATGTTTGCCATGTAAAATAAATGAGGAGTTCCTCCTCCTCGTCCTCCTCCTGTGCTAGACTTTCAGACCAATTGTGCAACCCACAACAATAACAGCTGCGCACTGGGAGATATGTGCTAAAAAGAGAAACTGACTCACTTGCACACACACACACACACACACACCTCACACAAAATGTGAGCGTACAGCTGACATTGCAGGAGGTGCAGTCTTTGCTGCTGCAGATGAAACTGTCCACTCCATGACCCAGTAATTGGTAACCTACTCCCCGCTCCATCTCAGTCTCCTCCATCTCTCTCGCCACTTTCCTCTCTTATCTCTTTATCTTTTTGACTCACTTCGATCCTTCTCTACTGTTGTGTCTCTCTCTTCCTCTCTGCTTCTCTCTTTTAACATCCTTCTCCTCTATCTTCCTGACTTACTCCATCTCTCTCTCTTTTGTTCCTTCATTCTTTACTCTTCCTCTCTCCTCCCATTTCTTTTCTGTTTTTACCGGCGAGAAATCTCAAGTTTTCTCCCTTTCAAACTTAGAACTGAATCACAAGTTAGGAAAACAAAACCTCGCACACATACATGTGAAGACTCCGGGAAAAGATTTCCAGTAACCTAAGATTAACACACTCTCCCAGTGCTGTATGAATAATCCTCACTGTGCGAGAGAAAGAGGAAAAAAACGCAAGAGAGCAGAGCAGAGCAGAGGATTGGAGAGAGACGAGGAGAGCAGAAGGTGTGTTTGCATGCCAATGAGACCTGATTCACCCGCAGCCGCCAGGTTCAACAATCCAGTGAGGAGGAGAAAAAAAAAAGAAGCTAAAAGAGTCTCATTCTTTTGCTTTCACCCTGTTTCTCGTATCTGTCTCCTCCCAGTGCTTTATTATCTCCTCCTCCTTTCAACAATCCCGCTGTACTTACAACGAGCGTAATAGCCTGAAAAGAACTCCAAAGTCGAGCTTGTTAGAAATGGTAAATACCGTTTTCCTCACGTCGCACAACGCCCAACCAGGGACCCTTTAACACAACGATACATAAACAGGGGATTTGGAAGAGTAAGCCAACATCGCCTGGCCAAGTATGTAATGACTTGAGTAACGCTTCAGTTTCTACTTACTTCACTTCTATAATCAATTACGGCGAAAAAGCAGGAAGCTATATTTCACTTTGAAAACACAGCAGGTACTCCTAATCTAAGATGAATTTGGAAAGCTGACACTAAATGGACTATGCGATGCCCTGTTTAAGGCCTAACGACGCTGCTCATTAGCGAAGTGTCAGGACCTCTGGTAAAGTATTACTCCTCCTAAAACTGAATTTTGTCAAAAGGCCGTTAAAATCCTTCCTGCTCGTCTGTTTTTTTTTCTTTCTTTTCTTTCTCCCAGCTGTCTCAAAAGAAGATAGATGAAAGGAATACACATTTATTTTGAATAAATGTGCTGTCAAAATATCCAACAAAATACCAATTAGCACCCAATGACAAAGAACACTTTCACAGAGCCAACACATAAAATATGAATTATTGTCAGGCAGAGGAAAACGTACAAAGTAGAAACGAAGGGACAGATTTCGTTCTGCTCAGTTTCTGCTATAAAATCCACAGTTGAAAATAAAAATAAAAAGGAAAGGAAGAAAAAGAATTGAGCGCCTGGTGTTAGTTTCTGAAAACCTTTTTTTTTTTATCAGACAATTGGGAGGCTTGTTAAACTGGAATTGTCTTTGGTGCCCCACAGTTTTCAGGTTAACGTTGTTTCGACCCTGCTGCACAGTCTCGGTGCTTTTGTGCTGAGAGAGAAAACTTACATGTGATCAAATTAAAGTGCAACTCTGATCATTTTAAGCAAGTGATCTAATTTATTTATTTTATTTACACTGTAAAGAAAGACAAAGAAGGCAGCAGCTACGAACAGATGAAGAGAAAATCACTCCAGCTAACTGCAAATGATTTAACAAGTTCCTGAAAAAACGTAGTAACATTAAGTTCTTGTGGCTCCACAGTGCTCACTTTATATCTCACACATGAGCAGAACACTGAATGCTGTTAATGTTGTGCTAATTAGCACCATCCTTTGTTGAACGCATTTACGTGAATAACTGCTGATAAGCAGCTGATTCATAGAGCACAACGGCGCCCCCTTAAAACATCATACGTCTCATTACTACGACCTCTCTGCTCGGTCACTCGCCGTAAAATCAAGGGCAGAATCGGTTAGCGAGCTTCTAAACATTTATTTTGTGAGTTAGCCAAACTCTACAATAAATCGTTGACCGTTAACGAGCGTCGTCAGCTGGTGTTGGTGCCTCACGCTGGTATGACGGATATGTCTAAGTTTTTCAGGAAGTTCTGAAAAGGATTGCGGGGTTCACAAAGACCGCAAGAGAGACGAGCCTCGTGCTAGTTTGTCATAACTTTACCCAGTTCTTACCAGACAGAAAAAGAATCACACATTGATATCTTAATAACTTTAAAAGAATCTTAGGACGTTATCTGAGTCCGTCTCACCGGTTTAGGGGGAGACAAGCTGTGAACGTACATTACAGAGAAGAAGAGTCTTGTGATGCAACTTCTGCATGATGGAATTATACTTCTACCAAAAAGTAAAAATGTCTTAACCCTCCTATTATCTTTGGGGTCAATGTTTACCATCTCTAAATAAGTCATTGACATAAGTTTTTCAGTTTTATTTAGAGGCCTATTTACACATAAACTTGGGTAACATTTATAATTATGATGTTTTCTGGAGGTTTAAATTTCTGGGGTCAAATTGAACCCAAGGATAAAAGATGTCAGTAAATTTAAAGGTAATAAAAGGGTTAAATATCAACCAAAAATAAATGTTAGAGGAGGGGGGAAATCACAGAAGCAAAATATATATATATATATATCTCATCTCATGAAATCATTGTGACAATGCAATTCATGACAATTTATTCTGGATAGATAAAATGTCTATCTTGTCAAAACTTTATTGATATCACAACATACATACAATACATATCACAGTAAAAATGAAATCAAAATTAACTTTTTTTAACTGTGTGTTCAGTCTTAAACACCAGGATTAAGGCTTTTGTTTTAGTTTTTCAACCTTGGTCATATAACAGGAAACATATATTCAAGGAGATTTCATGCACTAGAACGTCCAATATTGCTCCTTCAAATGCCACTAATACTGAGTCTGGCCGCCCCTGACACAGATCAATGTGTTAAGACATGGTGGCATACTGTCCACCAGCTGGTTGTTGGACGTCACACTCTTCTGTCGGATCCTGAAGTCAGAATTGGTTTCACCTGGGGCTCAGTATGTGATCATTGCAACTGGTTGAAAGTGATGAGTGTATAAATAGGAATAAAAAGAGGAATGTGTCTGATAACAAAAATCATTCCAACTTTATGGACAACAGTGTACTTATTTGGTCTTTTCCTTTTTGAAAGTTCGTCCTTCTGTTTAGTTCCCTCTGCTTCTTTCCCACTGATCAGACTTTTGTCTACACTGTCAGGGTTTTTTTTTTTGTTACCCTGCTCGCTCTCATTTGCACCGACTTTTTGTTGGTAGTTCTGACATGAACCTCTTGTGCGGGCAGGTTTTATTTTCAGGGGTTCATCTCGTTTTAGCTCAAGTGATAATCTTGTCATCAGCAGGTCGCCTCAAACACAAGGAAACTCAAACTTTGTTGCTGCATCTTTGCTTTGTCTATGAGAATAATCTGTTATTGCATAATTCAGGAAATAGCAGGTTAAAAGCAGGTTTGTACTTCTACTTTATCTCAAGCAGTGGTGATCAGCGAGTGGCTGTGCCCACAAAGGTCAGCGCATCTTGGGTCAAAGATTAACAAATGTGAACTTGCGGCAAACCGCAGCTCTGCTCAAATGTCCTCGCAGAGTCATCATAACACAGTTATTATCGCTAAACGTGAGCTGCAGTTAATTGGTCTGGTTTTCTAGATATAAAACAATTATCACATTCTTTGAAGTAAAAAAAAAAAAAATACAGAGGGAAACATTTGCCAGTGTTGCTGAAACAAAGGGTTGCAGCCGTTTTTGGTTCATAAAATGTTATGGTTTTCCCAAAAATACACATTTCTTTACAATAATCAAAATGCAACAAAGTTATATCTAAAATATTACTACAGTCGTCCTCAAATGTATTCATACTCATCCAATAAAGAAAAGGCAAAATTCACAACAATCACTCAAATAACTAGAAACTGAAAAAAGTAATAATAAATAAAAATTTGCTAAATTATCATTTAGTGAAACAAAACATTGCTTTTGAATTGTGGGTGAAAAGAATAATTAAAATAAATAAATAAATAATGTCCCGGACTCAAAAAAATATTAGTTCATGGGTCCCATCATGCTTGTTTTTTATTTATTTTTTTGAATATTTCTGTTGAACCACAATTCCAAAGCAATGTCATGATTTTCATAAAAAATGTATTTATTATTACTTCTGCCACTTATTTCAGTGACAGCTGTTTTTTTTTTCCTTCTTTAATGGGAGGCTATGAATACATTGGAGGACGACTGTAGATAAGTTTTACTATTTGTAGCAGTCACAGTGATCGTTTTCCCAGTATTGCTTATTATCTTCCTGAGTGACACTAGAGAAGTACTGCCTGGCCCAGCTGACCAACTCCCTCACAGCGCCGGCTCAGGCACTGCACCGAGCTTTAGTAGCACTTTACTACAGAACTATGAGTTCATTCTTTTCCCCCCCCGTATCTTCATTGTTACAGCTTTTATAACAATGTGGAAGGATTACTCCAATGTTTGGAAATGCTTCACTGTGCCATTGGCACTTGGTTTTGTTATTTGCTCTGCAGTCTGTCATGTAGTCTGTGGGAACAGCAGGTTTTTACTGAGAGAAGCTGCCAAATTTGCGATCATTATCTCACTGTCCGTACTTCCCTGTATTCCTGGCTTGATTTTGGCAATAGCTGGCAAATATAGTGCATTTTGGTAGCGTCCCATCAGTGTGTGACTTCGCCACAGGCCCATACATTAGTTAGGAAGCAGCTTGTATTGATTTTTTATTGATGTTAACAAACCTTTTCTTTTGTCCTGAATCCCAACATCCTGTTAAGCGCTGGGGCTTGACTTTCAGATGCAGATCTGAGTGCAAGTACGACATGGAAGGCCCGAGCCTGTGATTCACCAGTGCAATCAGGAGATGGAGTGATGATTGGATTATCACAGGCCCTGATGAAGGAGGATGACCTGTTTATTTTTTTTTTCTTTTTTGGCCAACTGTACTCCATCTCCATCGCCAATCTAATTGACTTGGCAAGCCTCCATTAAATTCACTTAAACCTTTTTGCAATTAAAGTAATGATTTTAATCAGGTTTGTTCATCTATCGCTACGATAAGAAAGACTCTAACTCACATCTATGTGCTAATGAGCGCAATTCTTTTTTTATTGTGACGAGGGCAGGGCAATATTAATTACCTCATCTGGGCAGAGCTTCGGATCACATGCAGTGTTCTGTGTTCTCCTGCCACGCTCTCTGCCGTGCCAAAATAACACGCCTGAGGAGAAATTGAGGTTGAAACACTGAGGTTAAAGGTATAATTAAATTCAAACTCAATTTTGGCATGTCCAGCAGTCAGAGAATGAAATTAGGAAGAGGGTGGGGAAACAGTAGGCTCAGGAGAATATGAGACGTTCTCCAGCCCCCATTTGACTGTATGATTTATTTCTCTTTTCTGAGACAGTGATCAAAGACAATGATCACTAATCAGCATGAGTGCATGTGTTTCTAGAGTTTCAGTTCAGATGAAAAAACAGAACAGTGTGTGTGTCTGAGTTTCACACGACTGATTTTCATGCAAACATGTTGCCTGTGCACACGTTTCACAGTGAGTGGACCCTCATAGCTCTCCAAATGTCACGATAAAAGACGGTCTGATATTATCACTGTTTTTGTCCATACACTGGGCTTACATGTTCGTTGTATTGTAACCATAGCAATGGATATGCCAGCCGAGTTGACGGCCCTCAACATCACTCCACAAGGAGCCCTGCTGAGGTGGAATCCCCCGGTGTCCAACGTCGACAACTACGTGCTCACGCTCACGTACAACCAGGGTGAGTTATCACTCGTTTGCTTGCATTCATTTGCTGTTTGTAAGAAGATGGATGGATGGACAAGGATTAGTCCATTTTAGTCATTTGGATAAAATCATCAGCACTCCTTTTTTCTTTTAATTCTGGTACGTCACTGGGGTGAACACTGCACTGCAAATAATGAAAATTCCGCTGCTATTTTTTCACGATGACTACGAGGTGCGTCAGAAAAGTTCCAGGACTGGAGTCACAAAAGATATATTTCAAACCCAAACTACAAACTAGTAGTTTTCCCTGTCAGACGATCAACCAGCACGTCTACAAAGAGATTGTGCGCCGTTTGCTTTGTTCAGTTCATAAGAAGAGGCGAGAGTTGTGGCAGGACAAGTCGTGGCTGCTTCACCATGACAACACGCCTGAGCATCCGACAGTTCCTGGCTGAGAAGAACATCGCCGTGCTGGAGCAACCTCCCTACTCACCCCACCTGGCCACCTCCGTGTGATTTTTTCCTCTTCCCAAAGCTCAAGGGGGTCATCAAGGGGACCCGTTTTGAAGATGTGGACGACATCAAGATGGCTGTGACGACGGAGCTGCAGAAGATCCTTCCAGGAGTGCACGGCGGCGGAGAAAGAGTGTTAGACTCCAGGGGGGGTTACTTCAAAGGGGAAAGCTTGCAGCTTATAGTTTGGATTTGAAATATATCCTGAAACTTTTCTGACACACCTCGTACAGTGTTTGCTTTAATCTGGTTCCCATTTAACATTAGAAGATGATGAATCACATTTTTTCACATCATTCTCACGTTTGCTTTATGTTTGTTTTTATTGAAGCACTTTGTAGCCTTGGTTATGAAAGGTTGGGTAATATTTATTTAACCTTTCACTGACAAGTGCTTTATACTACTCCTACACAACAAGAAGGCACTCGGAGAGCGGAGACCTCTGCCAAGGTCAAGGCCGTTTCTCACACTTGTAAAGAAAGTGATCTTGATCCACAACAAAATTTACTACTTTTTTGTTGTTGTTGCCTGCTCCATCTGTCCACCACATTTCATAAAAATCAGTCTTTTTTTTTTTACCTGATCCTGCTCACAGACAGACAGAGATACGAGCAAACCAATAAACTACACACCTCCACCTCCTTGTCAGAGGTAATTAAAGAATAGTAGTGGCAGCATATAGCATAATGAGTAGCAGCAGGTGCAGCATGCAGAGATGTGACCGGCGCCATCACGGTTTTCCCATTAAGAAGAGAGATCAGTGCGGCGCATCCTTCCAGGCAATATACTGTAGCTCCATTTGTCTTGCTTTCAGAGCAGTTCATTATGCTTGGTTGAACTACTTAGTCTTGGCACAAACAATGCAGTTATTACACGGCATGCGTTTCTGATGCAACCCGTGTCTTCGATGTCTGACAGCCATATCCAGACAGGTAGGAGATAGCCATATCGCTTGGCCCTTCAGACTCAGTTTATAATTTGCTCCCTGAACCGGAGTGGATGACTGCCAAGTTGCAGTAGGTAAGCCAGCCACAAATACAACTTAAGGACACGCGCAGCTAGAAAGGGTGAAATGTGAAGGTATAAAGAATCTTACTTCACAAACAAACATCACACAGTGTTGGGAGTCATTTACCTCACAAAATATATCTTTTAAACTAAATAAACAACTCTTGCTCTCAACCTTTGTTATTGCTCAGATTTTCATAAATAAGAAAATGTCACAGGAAGCATATTTTTCTTGTGCACATGATCCCACATACAATGCCATGCCTGGAGTTATCCAGAGAAATCTCTATCACTCAGCTGCTGGAGTCAATGTGTAAATTACACCCTGAGTGACTGGACTGCAGCCAGATCATCTCAGATACGGAGACAGTATCTATATGCCGGACACATATTTGGACAGAAGCCCGAACACGGCTTTGGAGAAGTGCAGTGTAAGTTGTGGACAAATTCCCTCGAGTGTTAATGTATTAAACCAAGGTCAATAAGTAAATACACACCACTGAGTACTGTCCTGCATGTCAAAGTAGATTTTTATTTGCGGGAACACCCACGTAAAATCCAAACCATCATGGTATCATCAGAGAGATTAATGATGCATCATGGAAGAAAAATGGTTTGTAAATGTCGAGTGTGGTGTCTGAGGCGTACCCAGAATCCACAAGCATCGCTGTCTGAGGGAAACTTATACACACATGTAGTCCAAGGACGGACGGCTGGGCAACAAATCTGGGAATTATTCTTGAACCCAAAAGACATTTAAAAACCAGAGTAAGAACATTGATAGGTAGATGCAGCTCTCATCGTTATCACCAAAAAAAAAAAAAGAAACCTCTGACTGTGAGCCCCAGGACACTACAGCCTTTGTGTTGGATGTCTTTTCTATTCAGAGCACATCTGATGTCTTGGAATCATTTTCTTATTCAGTCGTTTTTCAGTCAGTTCAGAGACCTTTTGTGACTGAAACTTGAGATTTGTAATAAAATTGTAATTTCTCTGAGTTCACTCTAATAGGTTAGATGTCAATGCCTTCAACAGCTTCTTGGAATACACCAGCTTGATTATTCAGTTATATTTTAGGTTCAAATATGCCTTTTTTTTCCAATGGTGGAGTGTATTTTCAAAGAACTGTAATCTCTTCAAACTGAAAACAGAGGATGTGTGGGCTGGTGTAAATGCAGTGAACATTTACATCTTATGCGTGTTTTATTTGTTTTCCAGTGACGGCTGATACTTTCCTGGTGGAAGGCAACAAGCAGGAGCACCAGTTGTCTAACCTCAAGCCGAGCACCACCTACTCCGTGTCCCTCTACGCCACCAAAGGACCCCTCACAAGTGGCACTGTCATCACCAACCTCCAGACACGTACGTACTCGTTTTATTGAGACGGTCTCGGTACAGTGGGCAGCGCGGTGACTCAGTTCTCGGCCCTGTCACCTCACAGCGGGGCGCTCTCCCAGGCCTGACTCAAGCCGTTCTAAGTGGAATTTAAATGTTCTCAAAGTTTTTTTTTTTTTTTGCAAGAGCATCCTGCGGGTACACAGTTTCATTTACAACAGAAACTATGTATGGTAATAAGGAGTTTCCCTGCTGTTGTTTATGACCGAGGGCGACAGCTTCACAGTGCTCCAAAAGTGGTCGGAATGAGGTGTAAACGCAGCGGATGCATCTGTCCCAGGGGATTAATAAAGTTTAATACAAACACAAGTATGTCTTCCAAAGGAGGAAATATCACCAGTGTTTATGTACCAGTTAATCACCACCATGAATGACCTCTAAAGCTGGCAGTCAATTTGATGGCTGACTAGAGGGATTTATACAGAGAGAGTTTTACAAAAAAAAATCTTTCCATATCAGTCGTCACCGTCCCATGGTTGTAATAATTCCTAATGATTGGTAGCAGGCCGTCAAGAAGGCGGGTGTTATCTAACGTGAGTTTGTCAGAGACGGACGTCGCAATGAGGAAGGAAACACTGGAGGGAAGGCGCCTTTGTCGAGACCTTGATGGTTACCGGGCATTATTTACCGTCCCTGGAGGGATTTGGCGTCATTTCTGTCAGCGTTTATACGTTAACCTCTTCATTAGCATGTGGTGTTGCAGTCGTGCTTGGTCTGAGAGGTGGGCTGCCAGTGCTTTAAAGACTTTCTATCACATGTTAGGATGTTGAGCCATGTACCGTAATTTCCAGACTATTGAGCGCACCTGAATATAAGCCGCACCCACTACCTTTAAAAAGAAAAAAAGTTCTACATATCCAGGCCACACTTGTCTATAAGCTGCAGGTGTCCACGTTGTAACATGAGATATTTACACAGAAAGATTTTTTTAACTTTAAATTAAATATGTACCGGTTACATACACAAATACGTAAATGCTTTTTTCCAAACAGTGCCTGTAACACGGCTGGTTAAGAAAATAAAAACTATAGCAGCCTACCAGGAAATGTCATTGATGGCTATCTTCATCTTCCTCCTGCACTAAAACCACTAAAGTCGTCTTCTTCAGTGTCGGAGTTGAACAGCCTCAGAATTACTTCGTCACACACTTCCTCCGTCTCTCTTTCACTCTCAATGTCACTTTCGTCTCGAGGCAAATCCGTAAAACTCGTAAAAATCCATAAATTAGCCGCGTCATTGTTTAAGCCGCAGTGTTCAAAGCGTGTGAAAAAAGTAGCGGCTTATAGTCCAGACATTACGGTAATTGATCAACATCATATCAGTTTTTTGAATTGTCTTATTGGCCATCCATAGAGTTATAAATGTTTGCAACACAAAGGATGGGGGACAGAATATCAGGAGATATTTGGGATTTTACAGTCCCACTCAGGTATGTTTGGAAATCTCTGACTCTTTATCTCTGCACAACACCTGTTGGGGTCTATATGGTACCAGACACTTAAATGTGGTCAGACACGAGTTGTGATCAGGATTAAACTTTTGCCAGCTTCACCTCCAGCTGACCCCCTTCTCCAAGTAGATCCTTTATCGGCTCGTCTATTGAGGGAAAAAGTTAGGGGCTGAGGAATTGTTCCAGTTTAGCTGAATTGCAGCTCTGTAAACTTTGTTTTTTTCTAGAGTTCTTGCAAAGGGAGAGGGGAAAAAAAAAAACTTTTCAGTCAGCAGAGGAGTTCATATCCCCCAGGGAACACCAGAGCTACCTGTCCTGCACTGCAGCAAGAGATGAACTACTCGCAACGGAAACAAGCTCTGACAACCTATGAGAGCAGAGCTGCAGAGACTTCAAAATGTAAATGGGGCTTTGGAAAATTAGGTACAACCATGTCAATGCCGTACATACATACAGTAACTCATACATAAACAAATGTGTGCTTGGCAGTTTAAGGTGAGTCTAATTTGGAAACACAATCTCTGCTGGTGCACCGTGTACCTCGGCCTCTCGAGAGGAAAAAAAGAAAGGAAGTAAGAAACACATATTCCCACCCTAGTTTAGAAACTCTCATATGAAAGGAGCTGAGAATGTCTGTGATGTAGGCGACACCATGGAGTGGGCACAGAAGACGAGTATTTTGTTTAGTTTCAAATATCGTGTGTTATTGAATCAAGACGATGGTTAGGTGCTTGGCGTTGTTGCTCTCCTTCTGAAAGGAATAGACTAAATTTATTCTTGCTGTGCCATTTTAGGGAAAATATCTGGTAGAAAAAAAACACAGAAGCAGATGAGATTTCTCCATATATGAGGAAAGGCAAAGCTCACTGTCTCCTAATACAGAATTGTGCAAATATTATTCTGTCCTGCACATACAGTCCCTACATGTAAAGGGTCACATGAGTAAAGCTAGCTCTGGTATCTTGTCCTGCTAGTTCTACTATATATATATATATATATTAATATTGCCCTTGATATTGAAATTCAGTGAGATTTCTTTAAGTTTTGCCTCGATTCACAAAAGGACTAAGTAAAGGCATAGAAAGTAATAATCCCCAAGTTTAATCAAGTGCTGCTTTGCAAATATCATGTTTATTTTTAAGACTCTGCGCCAGCCTCCCAGTGCACACATACTATATACAGCCGGTTGTATTTACACAGCCATGTACTTTTTGAGACAGTTTTTTTTTTCTTCTTTTGCACAGTTACACACAAATAACACAATTCAGCATTTCCCCCCTCGCAGGACTGATGGTGACACGTCTCAGCAGGGGGCGCGTCAATCAACCACAACTTCAGAGAGATCTTCCAGTGTTGTTAATTAAACTTCCTAATTGAAATCTTAAAGCCAATTTCTGTTCCGCTCACGCAGCTTGTTTTCTCGGAGCTGCTCGCTCCGCTGGGAAATGTCACGTTGTGAATGAGCTGTGAGGGAAGATGAGACCATTGATTGTTTTGGTCAACTAGCCCGGCTTTAGATCTATCACCATCTCATCATGTCTGCTGCTCTGTTTGTGTCTGCTGCTGTCTGACTCCCTCTTGGAGCTAGTTTGTTCCTCTGTCTGTCTCTGTGTGATCACAGAGTTGAGACTTACTGCTGGTTTACTTTGTGAGCCTATAAATAGACGAGAAAACGACAGAAAATAAAAGTATGCATCTTGATTAGTAGTTAGAGTGCAATCACTGTCGACTAAAATCCTTTGCGGAGAAATTTTATACACAATTAAGTTCTTAAAAACAAGTGGAATACATTAGTAACTGTAACAGATGTGAAGCAGCAGGGGACTGAAGAGACAAAGTCCATTCTTAAGACGGGATTTAGAATTTAGCATAAATGTGTGTAATAACTGCTGGAAAAAGCAAAAAAAATATTCTGGAGCACATGAGCCTGAATCACCAAAACGTACAGCATCAAAGCCAATCTCTCGACAAGGTATTAACTCTTAATTTCTCACCCAGAAGCATAATAATCGAATATTATCATGCTAATGATTTACGCCACATACATTTGCATGGAGTCTGATATTCAGTTTCAATGCCTTTTTAGCAGTTATTGGGTTTGTAATGATCGAAAGGATGTCTTCTGGGAGGGAGGATTGGGGTTGTTTTTTTGTCAGCGTGATGTATATAGTAGCAAATGCATGTTGTCAAACAGTTAAACGGTCAAACTGTCAGGTTTTAACTTTTCTTTTAGGAAGGGAAGGTGTTTCCACATGCATGCTGAACACAGCACAGAGAGTGAGACAGGCAGAGAAGGGGATGATCCATTCAGTTGTGTTTTTCCTCTCTGCGGCGGTGGTGGGGGTCTTTGTTGATTCCCAAGCCTCTTAACCACAGCTGAGAGTGGTTTTGTTGTCTGGCCTCCATGCCTCAAGAGTTCAACACAGAGTAAGACAGCTTGGCTCCCCAAAGGCTAATATTTAAGCTATAGGGCTGGAAAATAAGGGATTTTGCTGCGGGTGTCTCTATAAGCCTGTGGGCTGCAGCACCGGGACTTTTTCCCTCAGATGTGTCCAAGCCCACTTGCTGAGAAGAGCTTGGCAAGTTTTTGAAGCAGCAGAGATCCTTGCTGCGGGCGGCTCACGGATCTCCGGCTGATAGTCGTTCACCTAGTGCCGAGTGCTGCTATTCCAGAGCCATAATCTTCATTCTTAAAGCAGCTGATAAATCTTTGACGGTTCAGTGTACCTTCAGGAACTTCAGTCGCCCATAAAACTTGTGCTGTTAATTGTTTTATGGTTAAATCCGGTGTTTCCTGCTTCAGAATGGGCATCGAGGGCGACTGCGCACAGCAGTGAGCATCATTAGTCTGGAAGTCTGTCTCACCTTATTTGACAGAAATACCCTCGTTTTCCTGTTTTATTTTCTGATCATTTAATTCCGAAAAAATCTATTGTACTTGAGGAAATGAAAACCAATTAATAAATGTGGTTAAAGAAATCATTTTATGAAGACGTTTAAAAGAGGAGAGAGTTTGAGGTTGTGAGGTTGGGAAAGAAGAAGCAGATGTTACTCCTGATATTCATATTTAAAAAACAAGTCAGATTTCATTCATGTAAATCTAATTAGACGTTGAGCGTCTGAGGTGTGGGCGATGTCAGTACGGTAACTGTACAGTGAACGGCAGACCGTGAATAAAAACATGCATAGATACACTTTTACTAATACCTGAATTTTATTGAACACTGACCTTGATCCAGGCCCAGTCAGAACAACGCATCTTAGCTGGCTGATCCAGACACAGCCTTGTGTAAAACATAGCGACTGTGGTTGAGAAGAAAGTCGACTGCTGGAAGTGAAAGACTTATTTAAGCTCATGTTCCGCTTGTTGCTTGATATTAAATGCACACAGACAGGATGTAGATTCATATTTTCATTCTTAACTTTCCAAATGGTAAATGGACTGCACTTATACAGCACTCAGAGCGCTTAGCAATGTTTTCTCACCCATTCACACACACATTCATACACCAATGAG